AGGCTAGAGAGAGAAAGAGAGCTAGAGAGAGAAAGAAGAGCTAGAGAGAGAGCAAAGAGCTAGAGAGAGAAGAGAGAGCTAGAGAGAGAAAGAAGCTAGAGAGAGAAAGAGAGCTAGAGAGAGAAAGAGAGCTAGAGAGAGAAGAGAGCTAGAGAGAGAAGAGAGTCTAGAGAGAGAAAGAGAGCTAGAGAGAAAGGAGATGAAGAGAAAGAGAGCTAGAGAGAGAAGAGAGCTAGAAGAGAAAGAGAGCTAGAGAGAGAAAAGAACTAGAGAGAAAGAGAGCTAGAGAGAAGAGAGCTAGAAGAGAGAAGAGGAGAGCTAGAGAGAGAAAGAGAGCTAGAAGAGAAAGAGAGCTAGAGAGAGAAAGAGAGCTGAGAGAGAGAGAGAGAGAGAGAGAAGAGAGAAGAACTAGAGAGAGAAAGAGACTAGAGAGAGAAAGAAGCTAGAAGAGAAAGAGAGCTAGAGAGAGAAAAGACGAGAAGAGAAAGAGAGGAGAGAGAGAAAGAGAGCAGAGAGAGAGAAAGAGAAGCGAGAGAGAGAAAGAGAGCGAGAGAGAAGAAAGAGCGAGGAGAGAGAAAGAGAGCGAGGCGAGGAGAAAGAGACGAGGGAGAGAAGAGACGAGGAGAGAAGAGAGCAGGGAGAGAACAGAGAGCGAGGAGAGAAAAGAGCGAGGAGAGAGGAGGAGGAAGAAGAGCAAGAGGGAGGAGAAAGAGAGCGAGAGAGAAGAGAGAGGAGCGAGGGAGAGAAAGAGAGCGAGGAGAGAAAGAGAGCGAGGAGAGAGAAAGAGAGCAGAGAGAAAGAGAGCGAGAGAGAAAGAGAGCGAGGGAGAGAAGAGAGCAGAAGAGAGAAAGAGAGAGGGAGAGAAAGAGAGCGAGGGAGAGAAAGAGAGCGAGGGAGAGAAAGAGAGCGAGGGAGAGAAAGAGAGCGAGGAGAGAAAGAGAGCGAGGGAGAGAAAGAGAGCGAGGGAGAGAAGAGAGCGAGGAGAGAAGAGAGCAGGAGAGAAAGAGAGCGAGAGAAAAGAGAGCGAGGAGAGAAAAGGCGAGGGAGAGAAGAGAGCCGAGGGGAGAGAAAGAGAGCGAGGAGGAGAAGAAAGCGAGGAGAGAAAGAGAGCGAGGAGAGAAAGAGAGCGAGAGAGAAAGAGGGCGAGAGAGCGAGAGAGAGAGAGAAAGAGGGCGAGAGAGCGAGAGAGAGAGGGCGAGAGAGAGAAAAAAAGAGGGCGAGAGAGAGAAAAAAAGAGAGCGAGAGAGAGCGAGAGAGAGCGAGAGAGAGCGAGAGAGAGAGTTAGAGGGAGAGAGAGAGAAATATCGAAAGAGAGAGCGAAAGAGCGCGCGAGAGAGAGAGTGTGAGAGAGAAACAGAGAGAGAGAGAGATTCAGGGGAAGTAGCGGTTGATGATGGGAGACACACGTTCTCGCGCATGCGCTGTCGAAGGGAGATTACAAAGTTGTTCTGCTATAATTTCCTCGTGCGTAAAAGGGGGGAAAAGAAGTAGAAAACATATAATTTTCTTTAACAAGTCAGTAAAAAAATACAGGAAAACGTGGCACTAACGACAGACTTCGTTGCAAAATATTTTGGGTATTCTAAGGCTACCAGATTACCCTTCAGCGTCGCTACTGGAAATATACTAGATCTTTGAAATATATAAATGATTGTCTACGAGCAAAGAGAATTTCTAAGAGAGATGCCCAGCTTTTCAAACAGTGACCAGTTTATTGGTTCTCAGTCTTCCAATCCAGCGTTCCCCTCCCCTGACATTAAAAGTTTCTAAACGACCGTGCGTACCACCGTGGAAGTTTGATTAAGGTCAATTCCACGAACACAGTGAATATCCTTTTTGAGCAGAAGAGACTTCCTCCTTATTTTATTCACACGTGCTTGTCAGCTTTTTAAAAATGAATTTTATCACCTTTATATTTATTATTACCTCACAAGAACATGCTTACTTTCGCACATACTACATACATAGTTTTGAGAAATGTATGTAATGCTTCAGGAAAATAAGATTTTTCAGCAGAGAGCAATTCAGCAGAAGATTTTTTAGCAGCAGCAATACAGAACATGAGGATAACTCTCGTTTCAATGTGTAGTATATAACCAAATATTATAGAGACAATATAAAACACTCTGTGATATAACGGGAAACACTTGAAGCTAGAGACCTTAATCACCCGAATGGTTAAGTACGGCACGTATTAATTGCAACGAGCAAGTTCATTGTTCCAAGTGCAAATTCATTGTTCCAAGTTCAAATTCAGTGTCTAAGTTAGTAGAGTGTAACTCTTTAGAACGAAATTTTACGAGAAGAACGTCTTCGTAGTTCTTTAATCAGTAATTAATTGTGAATGTTGAAGACCTTTCGTGTAAAACCTAGCATATCTGTATTGTTCAAAAATGGGAGCTGGTATAGAAAACGTGTATCTAAACTTTATATATATGCAGCTGTTGTTTTGTTCTTTCATTTTGTATTTTAATTTCTGTTACTCTCACCCCAAAACGAGGATAACTGTGAAAACGACCGCAAACGCAGAGCCAAATTTGAAACCCGCGCGCAAATCATCCATTACAAGGGCGGTCACGGCCCCTTTCAATTTATCCTCTGTCCTGAACCAAAGAGTCTATATCCTGAACTATCCCTCTTCGAAATTTTAGGATCTCGACTTTCGCAAACCGATCGTTTTGCCGACAATGTATATGAAATCGTTGAAATTGATTCCAGCATTCGTGACACTAAGTTTTATTTGTATTAAGAAAACGTTCCACATCAATTACTAATAAAGCACTAGCATCATTATTAATAAAGCACCGACCACCTTTTGAGCTTCAATACATATCTCAGAACTGCACGAACCAAAATACTCATTGGTATCAGTGTTACAAATACAATAGTATTGTTCCTGATCTATTTTAAGAAAATGTTAATATTTTGACACCTCAAGCAATACAATTCAATTTTATTTATACTATATTTAGATGTTCCTATAGAAACAACCAGTTACGCGCAAAAGTTTGAAGATCTTCGTGAGTATAGAATACCCAAGTTCTATTTATTTGCGGCTAGGTTGTTGAAGCAATCTTGTATGTTGACATAAGTTTTAACTTCGTGGCCATATATTTTGAATATAACCATCCGAATGGCGTTTTTGAGTCTTATTTTTATGTCGCCATTAAAACTCATTCAGGTGAGTCCTTCCTAGCAGAGTACGGGTTGTGATAAATCTTTAACCTTATAACTTTGCTTCTTGCACTTCCCATTTACAATGAGTTTTCATGAGAGAAAACATCTAAAATCTCTAAAGCAGTTCATGTTAATTGAATAAAAGTTAACAGTTATTGTAACCTTGTGTTCTACAGATTTTAAATGATAAAAGATATTTGATTGATGATTATTTTGTATTAGAATATAAAAATGTTAAAAATTCATTTTTAGTAGTGTTAAAAAGTTAGGAACTATGTTACAACTATTTGTGAAGAATATTTTGAGCAATTCGTTTCCTTCGAGAAAGGAGCAAAATATTAAAAGCTAAAAGAGAACTGAAAAGTTTATGATAGTCAAACAGTAAATAACGAAATCGAAGAAGCCGACAGGAAGCATGTTAAGTTAAATTTTCAACAAGCAACTTGAACTCTTGCAAATTGTAGTTGTTGTTAATCAATGACAGTGAGGCCAAGTCAGCTCACATTAGCAACTTAATTTTCCTTTCGACACTTCTCCAATTATAAACATGTATTGCATTTGAAATTATTTCATTGAAGCAACTATTTTGTGAACACAAAAATGTTCTACCTAGTTACAGATTGTTCATAGTTAAGAGGATCAAAGTTTTCGTTTACTTCTATCAACACGAGCATTACACCACAATCATTCAAGAGGTGCGCATTTTTAGATATCATATATTATTGATTGTATTCATTCTTAATATCGCACAATGATCGCTATTTGACCATGAAACAAATTAGAGTGAACAAGTCATCTAATAAACAACTGAGTGATTTACACAGAACATATTTTTAAACATTTCTAATAATATGCACAATATATTCTTTGTGACTCTTTGAATTGAAATATCGAATAATTTTGTCCAATAACTTATATTTTAAAGTCAATGTTTAATGGTAATATAACGATTGGTTTAATGTAGTAATGGTTATAAACATTGACCTTCAAAAATAAATTATTGGACAAAGTTATTCGATATTTCTAATAATAGTTCAATCGATCTTAAAATCATAAGGTATTTTCATTATATAAAAAATCATTTCCAAATCAAGTACGTTAGTAACTTTGAAATACAATTTTTAAAAAATTCAAATGTCTTTATGTGCAGTTGCCTCATGAAGTCCTCGCCAAAGCAATGTTCTGTGCTGCCGCATCATCGAAAGAGAAGTCAGCTGCACCTCCCAAAGAGAAGCAATCCAAAGAGAAGTCAGCTGCACCACCCAAAGAGAAGGAATCATCGTCCAAAGAGAAGCAGAAGGACCCGCCAAGTCCTAAACAGAAACCCCCCCAGCCGAAGACACTCCTAGTCTACCGTTACAACCCGGAAACACCACAAAATAAACCGCACATGCAGAAGTTCGAGATCGACATGAATAAGTTAGTTAACTTATTATTAAGACATAAGGGAGAAGTTTTCATAGCACATGCTGAAACACAGTTTCCTTACACTTCAAAACTGTTGTGAAATGAATGTGCATCATTTCGATATGTTTCACATCATCTACGTCCCTTTAATTTGATTTGCTAGGAATGAATGTGAAAATCTTTGGTGACAGACTAAAATGGCGTCTATCTTCTCTTAGCTTGTGCTCTCGCTCGTAGGTCAGGTTAGAGATAATTTTCGCTCTCTCCCTCTCTCGCTCGCTCGCTCACTCTCCCTCTCACGCTTCCGTCCCCTCTTTCGCTCACTCCCTCCCTCTCTTTGTCTCGCTCCCATCCTCTCGCGCCCTCCCTCTCGCGCCCTCCCTCTCGCGCCCTCCCTCTCTCCCTCCCTCCCTCGCTCATTCACTCCCTCGCTCTCTCTCTCGCTCACTCCCTCTCTCTCGCTCACTCCCTCTCTCTCGCTCACTCCCTCTCTCTCGCTCACTCCCTCTCTCGCTCACTTTCCCCTTTCTCTCTCGTTTCCTCCCTCTGTCGCTCACTCCCTCTCTCACTCATTCCCTCGTCACTTCCTCTCTCTCCCACCTCTCTCGCACGCGCGCGCGCTCGCTCCCTCCGTCTCTTCCTTCCTCTGTCTCTAGCTCACTCGCCCCCTCTCTCTCTCTTTAACGCGCGCTCGGCTCTTTGGTTGTTCGTCTTGTAGAGCGCACCTGCGATTCGCTTGCGCAGGTGCGGGGGAATGGTGTTGGATGCGCTGACGTTCATCAAGGCGGAGATTGACCCCACGCTGTCTTTCCGGCGCTCGTGCCGGGAGGCCATCTGTGGCTGCTGCGCCGTCAACATTCGCGGCGTCAACTCGCTCGCCTGTATCACGTACGAGCCCCCACTCACACAAATGCATGGACGCAGATGTGCATTACCACTTAAGTGGAACCTCGAAAATTTATTCAAAAATTAATTCCTTCAATTCATTTTTTAATATATTTAACTGCAGTTAAAATATATATCATTTCAAAATATATTGATAATTGTATAATAATATATTGAGAAGAAAATTATCTTCTAGAAACAGTGTTTTGTTCTTGTTAATAATAAAACGAGAAAATTGGGTAGCCATATTGGGCAAGCTAGAATGAAATTCAAATATTACAACATAAATAATAAGTCTCAGAAATGTTCGTGGCTAAAATAAATAAAAATAATTTGACATTGAATATTCCTAATATAAAATAAGCACTGAAGACGAGATGAATCCAATGGTAAAATTACTTACTGAGAGATAAAAGACAAACGAAAACGGAGGTGACATGTTTCATCGAGACCGTAATTTTGTCAGAAGATATTTGATCATCGTAGCGAGCACTCGAGAAGTTTTGTTAGAAGTAATTATTTTATTGCAGTAAATGTAATTCTAATAACAATTTTTAAATTCAAAGACGTAGTCTGTAAACAGACTAATGGTGCCTTGAATGTGTATTAAGCAGTTTTTATTCTGAAATTATAGTGCGGAAACTACAATATTATATTTTAACTAAATGTTCTATTTTATCGTCGTTACGTGGTCGATAAGTTTATTATTCTATAACAAAGTAGAGTTCATATATTTTCAGAGTTGAATAACTTCCATCCTGAACTGAAATTTACTATTGAAAGTGCATTATTTAACAAAGTCAATTTTTTTAGATGTTACCTTCATTAGAAATGATCACGTAAAAACAAAACATTGGTTCAGAAAAGAGATATTTGCAGACAAGTGCTTAATTACAACCCCTTACTTAGTAGAAGAATAAAACTGGATTTATCTATAATCTAAATGACCGCGCAGTGAAGTTAGGTAATAAAAAAGTCCATCTCATTAATTCACAAGTAGTTAACGCTATTTTAAGAAACAATAATTACCGAAAACTTTTATTGATAAAAAGAGAATGAAGTTTCTTGAGTCACATTTCAAACCAATATTAAAGGATAGAAATACTTTTGAAAATAAATCTTTATTGTTACCTTTAGTTCCTATAATTATAAATTAGAACAGGTTCTTTAAGAAAAATACCAGTGTTGGCTCGCTAACAAAACCCGTAATAAACACTCTGTTATCAGGAATGTCAAAGACTATACTTCTGCTTTGAACAGAGCCAATGCCGTATACGGCATTGATTGCAACGATTTCCAAAAAACAAGCTAGGCTAAACAAGTCGTAAAGTTCTAACCAGAATAAAAGAAAATGACAGACGCAACGGATAATATAAGAAAAATATGAAGAACAATATGGCTACCCAATGTCCTCGTTTTAAATATACTATGCTACTCCCATATTGTCATTTCCGGGTACGAATACTTCAAATTAGTCTATTATTTTTAAATCATAATTTCCGTCGGGATATCCGGGCATATCGCAGTATTCTTTATAACCACAACGACGAACCTGAAGTGGTGGACTTGAACCATGATACGTTACGATTATTAGTTTAACACCTAAGCTTTGATTTCCTGCTGTCATTAAATAACTTCCTCCAGAGTCATTCCTGCAATTTGATTTATATTATTATTATTATTATTATTATTATTATTATTATTATTATTATTATTTGTTATTATTATTGTTGTAATTTATTATTTATTATTATTATTATCATTATTATTATTATTATTATTATCATTATTATTATTATTATTATTATTATTATTATTATTATTATTATTATTATTATTATTACGTTGTCGTTGTCGCTGTCGGCAGTCCGCTGGCGGGCAAGGAGAAAATCCTGCGCGTGTACCCGCTGCCGCACATGTACGTGTTGCGCGACCTCGTCACCGACCAGACGCACTTCTTCGCGCAGTACGCGCGCGTGCAGCCCTGGCTGCAGCGCCACTCGCCCGCGAGCGGCACCCGCCCCAAGTCCCTGCTGCAGAGCGAGCGCGACCGCGCCAAGCTGGTACTGTGCGATTTGCTTTAGAACGGGACGGTTTGGCAGCTAGTGCTGGCAACACAGCCGACGATTCTGTGGTCGTTGTGTCCGTGAACTTATTAGACTCTCCTTCCTCCATTCGTTCGTTTGCAGTTGGCTAACTTGTAAATAGTTACGACGCTCCCTGCTGTGATGTCCTCGTCCGACGAAAATATAGTGCACCACGAGAAGTAATTGAAATTAGGAAGTGCAGAGCTTTGTGCTCTTCTGTAAAAATTCTTTCTTTTTATAAAAATTAGTTGAGGCGTGACTGGCCCCGGGCACTGTCCATTTGGCGGGGAAAGGAAAGGAAAGGAAAGGAAAGGAAAGGAAAGGAAAGGAAAGGAAAGGAAGGGGAAAAGGCGGAAATGCGAACCTCCCCCGAGAGTATTTTACTTGGAACATTGTTTCGTAACTTACAAGGGACCTTTGAAGTGGTACAGTTCGAAATCTCGCCTCATTTTTTTTTTTTTTTTTTTAGACAGACATTCGCTGTTTCTGTGGTCACGGGGTAAATGTTCTTAAGTCAATTTGTGGCAAAATGGGGTTAAGTACTGAAACTACAAGTTAAGTGTCTATATTTTATTTTAGTAAAACGACCGAATACAAGTGATACCTCTTTCACACCAAAAAAGCGTTGGCAAATATAGCTTCATGCCACTCATCAATAGCTACTCAATAATGTAACCCTTGTTTTCTCCGAACTAAGATTTTTGACTTAAAACTCAAACCGCGTGGCCACAGATTTGTATGTGTCTGTTTTTTTTCTATCAACAGATGCTCGTTATTTTACAAATTATGCAAAACAGTATAAAGAAAATCCGTCGAAAATGAATTCTGAAAAAAATATGATTTCAAGTCTAAATATTATTTTATGTTATGAAGGTATCACAAAAGAGACCAAAATTAAAATATTAAAAACGATAATTAGATGTATTTTGACTTTTGGCTCAGAAGTTTGGACGATAAATCCACAGTTAAAAAGAATATTATAGGCAACGGAAAAGGATAATTTCAGAAGATCGGCAAGAATTTCCAGAAGAGACAATATTCGAAATGAAATTATTACAAAAAGATGAATGTATCACACTCGATATTATATACTCGATTATATAAATAAAAAACGCCTAACCTGGTTTGCACATGTAAAAAATGGAAAAACTGAGATGATCTAAATTAGTGTTTTATTGGGAATCCTTTGAAAGATGGATACGCGGAAGTCCACCTCCAAACAAGCAACTATATTAAGAATATCATAGGAGAGTAAAATCTCGTCCTGTATGCAAATTTTCATTGAAAAATATGGAGCTGTTTTTACGAAAATGGCATTTAATCGTTACTGTAAATGCAAAATTTAAAACTATCACAGAAACCTATTGAGTTTTCGAAAAACATTATTGGAAGTCATTTAAAGCATTTTCAATCATAAATGCAATAATGTATACAAATTGCATGAAGTAAGCATATTAAAAGCGTGAGAGATATTTAAAAAATTAAATTTGTGTAATTTAAAAAAACCAAAAGAATACAGCAAAATTATTTTTGTGTTAACTTAAACATTGCAATTTGCATCCGCACGAGACGTTTGAAGAACAAAATAGTAGCCGTTTTTTGAGAATATGCTATTGAAAATTTTTCTGAAAATGCGAAATTTTGAGCTCATTTTTACAGAATACTTTTGCACTATTTAGAAATGTTATAAGAAATCATTTACTCATAAATACAATAATATGTCAAAATGTAAATGTAAAAATTGACGACGTGAGAGACAAAACAATTAATTACTTTTTTGAATTTTTGCAAAAGCAAAAGAATTGAGCAAAATGACTTGTATGTCACCTCATAGAGTACATTTTGCACCATTCCTACCAAAAGTTAAAAGAAATAATTTGGAGCCGTTTTCGAAAAAATCTTGTTTTGTTATGTTTTAAATTGTACACATTGAACGTAATATTGAGCGAAAACTACTAAAACTTTAATTCGGCCTAATCGAAATTTTGTATAAAGTGCCCAGAGAAAAAATTCATATAAATGAAATTCAGAATGTTCTACAAGAGCTGTCTGATCGGCAGGAAGATCATGAATTTGGTAGTGATAGTGATCTGAGTATTGAAAACATACACGATCATCAGCATGATACTGGATCGGAACAAGAACCCTTCTATTAATAAATACGAATGTTTATCAACGAATGTGTTTTTGGTAGCAAACACTAATTGCTCACAATGGCGTAAATACTAATGTTCACAAATTATCAGAATGGCGTGACCTGGCGTATAGAGCAGTTTCAAAAACACAAGCTCTTAATATAGTGAGAGTACTAACCGATTTTAGACGATATATATTGCAAATTCACTTTGCGTTCGGAAATTATGGTAATTCGAGGATTGTCTGACACTACGATAGAATTCTTAGATATTATAAAGCGACATATAATAAAATTGCGTTGTTTTATTATTTCTTTGTTTATTCAAAATTAATGGAATAACGTAAAATTTACGACACGCACCTGCTGGTGTGAACATTTTACGCACGCTCACTGGAAGATTAAATAATTCTTCGTTGCCAAAAGGCACAAAGTTTACATCGAACAAAATCACACGGGCATATGACGGAGATCTTTTCTATTCTGAATTTACTTCGTTTCGTTGCTGACGAGAAGACTTTCAAAGTGAAGGGGAAGAGATGTACTTGCCAATGAAATTGGGAAGCTTGAACAGCTTTTAGAACATTTTGGAACAAATTACCGACGGTACCTCGCTCAGGGGCCATTCATAAATTACGTGAGACTTTCTGGGGGAGGTGAGGGTCAAGGCAAATGTAGTCTAATGTACGTGAGGGAGAGGAATTGTATTACACCAGAACACTTATCTCACAATCGATGGCTATTGAGATAACTAATGAATTTATTTAAAATTTATTTTGCATTTATTTTTCCTCCTTTACTCAAAACTTCAATTCTTCAATATATATAACATTCTTAAGCATTACGAGACCTAATGTTGAACAATATTTGGCTCTTAACTTAATAGTAGTTCTACAACTTCAAAATTTTTACACACGTTTCGTAAGTTAGGTAATATTATAAAACTACTTGAACCCTCAAATGTTGCCCTTGACCCACAACATTTCTTCCAAGCTGAGATTCTCATTTACACACTACTTACATTTAGCAATCTACGAGAATATACTTTCTATCAAATAGCTCAGGCTGCATAACAACCTTCCTGATGCTACACGCGTAAGCTTCCTGATGCTGTTTTAAAAGGAAAGTTGAATAAGAACAACCCATATTTCGGACAGTCAGGCAGACGGACATATGAGTGAACGGACAGACAGATGGGCGGACTGATTGATGGATTGACAGACGACACCGAAAAGGTGGTGTTTTTTATGGTAGGAAATTACTATATTTATGAACATGATCGACTTTTTCGATACGAGGGCCCGGCAATAGTTACACTGTTGAAAAATCGTCTTTTTCCTCCGAATACTTTCTCTATACTGCGTGAGCAGAAGGCGAAAAATCTAACACGTATTAAGTAGTATTTAAAAAAATGTATTTATGTTATTAAAATGATTATTTTCGTGTTGGCATAAAAATATCAAAAGGTAAACGTTTCTGATTTCAATTGTTCTGAAGTCGCATGCATTTTATGTTCTATGTCACCCTGCGGTTCCTTGGCGTGGCCGTCGCTCGTGGATAGGACGGGCTGTACGAGTGCATTCTGTGCGGCTGTTGCTCTGCGTCGTGCCCGGCCTACTGGTGGCATTACGAGAAGTTCCTGGGCCCCGCTATTCTCATGCAGGTTCATATCGTTTATATGTTTTAGAGTAAAAACCTTAGAGAAAAAGTCAACAATAATACGAGGGTGAATGATAAAGTATCTGTCGAAAAGGTATCAAAAATTGTCTATACTATCTTTACTTTCTAAACAAATGTGTTATGACGTCGCATAAAGTGATATCACTCAGGAAAAATAAAGGTTGATATCACTGAAATTTAGAAAATACAGACCTAATCGTTATATCATACAACTACGAAACATAAGATATAATAAGATCAAATGAGGTTGTTGACTATAGCACCCCATGTTCGTTAATTCAGATTTGTTTCCAAATAAAGCAAGAATTGCAAACTGAGTCATTCAATCGTAATATTTCTTTGTTAGACTTGTCCCAAGCCTTCAATGGCCACGAAACTCGCCGAGCAACCCTTGGAAATGTCCGACCAATGAGAAGGCTGTTATACGCAGTTCAAAATTAATGTTTTATACAAACTTCTAGTGCGTGTAGGGAGTAGAAAAGGATCAGTTTTCGCCAATGAGCACGTGGTGGGAATTTCATATAATCAAGTTAAACACATCCTTATACATGCCTTTACGCGCCAAATAGAGAAACAGGCGCGTTATTATTAAATTATCAAAACAACGAAAGTATTCTAGTAAGGAAGATAAAGTATAAAAACTCATTTTTAGTTAAAATCTTAATTCGTTCAATATTCAAATTACAATTGTTATATTATTATTCTTACAATGTTTCCTTCATTTATAATATCTAATAAATATAAAACAAAACCAAGGAAAATTAATAAAGAAAAACCTAATTTTAAGAAAATAAAAATCAATTAAACTACAATTTTATTTCTATTGAGCTATCGGGTGCAATTTACAAAATAAATGGTTGAAATTTTGGGAAACTGTAGAGAATTTAGGGGGCTAAAACTTATATATTTATATTTAGCCCTGATTATGATTGCGTCAGAAGAGGGAAAAGTTATTTTTATTGTTAAGGACAACACTTACAAGGGTAAATATAAATATATAAATTGTAGCCCTTTAAATTCTCTATAGTTTCCCAAAATTAAAGATATAAACGCCTGAAACAATTCTTGAACATTTTTTACTGTCTATAGAAAAGTGCAAGGATAATTAAAGTCAATATTCGTTGGCTTAATGCGGTTAAAAAATACGTTTTTTAAAAATTTGTTCAAAGTACTCTGGGTAAATTGATTCAAATCCGATGAAAAACTTTTTTTCACACTTCAATTACGATTTTCAACATAAAAATGTTTTATCCCCGAGAATAGTTATGCTTACCTTAATCCGCTATCTCCTTTGGTGACATTTAAAAAAAATTAAAATGTCCGAGGGGCTTCATGTAAAGTACCTCCCTCTAAATTAAAATATAGGTTTCAAATTCTAGAGGCCGTCGAATCAACCAGATCGACTGGAGAACATCGATTTTGGAGAAAATCGGCTGAACAGTTAGTTGCCTTTTTTCCCGTATCATTATTTCCGGCAGCACTTTCTCTATTTTGCATAAGCAGCATTCTCTCAAGCGTTAGTTATGCTATCAAAGGGCGAATTTTAATCAAAACATTTGGTGCCATTTTTTAGACAATTTCCACATTTTTCGAAAATTGCAAAAGTGCAACTTTTTGAGGACATCTTCCTGCAACTATCATTGAAGACATATATTTTTTCCTTAATAAAATCTGTTTATCAAAGACATCTTGAAATGAAATCAAGTACAATTTTTCGAAAATTTGAATAATTTTTGCGTAATTTTGCCCAAAATATAGGCAATTTTTTTAATCATTTTTTTAAGTACTCTAATTTTTTTCTTTAAATTTTCTCCCCATACGTATCAAGAAACGGTATAATCCCATTTCCGACGATTTCTCCGTTTTTTTTGTTTGAAAATTGCAAAAAAGTAACATTTCAAAACTACAGAATTGAAGATAGAGATTTTTTCTTTAGCCAAATTCTGATATAAAAAAAGCTCTTTGAAAAAAGGTTATATACAATTCTTTGAAAAAAACTAGCAGATTTTGAGTAACTTCTAAAAATAATTCTCAAACCCACTCCATATTTTTTCTTCAATCTTTTCCACATATAGAAGAATGGATGCTTAAAAGAATGGCGCAGGTTTCATTTTTGTTGAACTCTCTGAATTTTCGAAAATTGCGAATTTAGAAATAATGCGATAAAGTATATGCTGTTGTAGCACCACTGGTTTTCCTTTGCAGGCTTACCGCTGGGTGATAGATTCAAGAGATCAGAACACGGCGAAGAGACTACGAAACCTATCTGATTACTTTTCTGTGTACCGATGCCACACTATTATGAACTGCACCAGTTGTTGTCCCAAGGTATGTTAATGTTAAGTATCAAGCTGAACGTGCTGAATGTATGAATATGATAAAGACATAAAATCTGAGAAAATTTGGCCCGACTTGAGCTGTAAAGAAGCCCGAGAAGAAGGGAAAGGCTAGTTTTTCGTGAAACCGGTCACTCCATTTTGAGTGAAGTAACTAAAACTCCTTCGGGATGCGTTGGGTAATGAATTAAAATAAAATTTTTATAGCAAATTTCAATTACATCCGTTTTAAAATTTTTACACATCTATATATTTTTTAAAGAAATTCATAATCTTGCTAATTCATACTTTGCAATACACGATTTTTTGTACTATATGACAATTATAGTGATATTTTTAGATGTTAAAGTCGTAAAATTGAAGGTTATTATTTTCTAAAATAATATCAAATGCTTAATTTGCATATAAAACCGACGTTACTTTTATGGCATCACGTTTCTTTAGACAGAGTTTTTTGAATTAAACACTCTTTTTATCTTGTTTTTCAAAAAAAATACTATATATCGAGTCGTTCTTAAAGGGTTTTGCAGCAGGTATGAAAGGGTTGTATCGCAGTCAACAGGCAATGATAAATAGCTCAATTATTTCCATTAATTTTGAAAATATTTAGAGTATCATTGTTCATGATATTCAGTTTTCATAATTAATTTGCATCTGAAACCTTCGAATGCTTCATAATGGTATTATAAATTGAATAAGAAGATTAATGCATATGAATAGGCACAGGATTTTTGTGATTGATAGGGATGATTTTAATTGAAATATTCTTTATGTTACACTGTAAGTTCACTTTTGGGGACAATCAGACTGAATGGGAAAACGTCATCAAAATAAAACCCAAGATTCAAGGATCATGACGTGGCCCAGTGTTGTTCTCTCGATGTTCAACTACATTAAATGCATTGGTTAGATGCGGAAGGGTGTGGGGTTGAATATTTTGATGTCAGGACTATTATATCATATCTGCAGTTTGTTTTTCAGCGCAAAGTAATTTCAATTACACGGAAGCGAACATTTCTGGTAAATATATTTTGTAAACGTTTGTCACTAGCATTTATCCACAATTTAAACCTATGTTAGTAAAGGAGTGGGGGTAGGTATTCCGGGGCTCAAGAAAACGTGCGCTTGTAATATCACGCATGGTTCCACCGGCCACCCCCACCCCTGTTTCGAGAAGCCGGGCGACCTGCAGAAATCAACAATATGGGGTCACGTGGGGACAGCCTGGGTAATGAAAATATGGCTCGCAACCATATTAAAGGATATAGGTTTAGCCTTTGAGGCTTTGGAAGTTTGCCACCCCTAGCATAGACTATGTATAGACTTGTATATTATTTGGTACCAAGCAAACTGACGTCTTCTGGGAATTGAAGATCCTTGGAATCGTATGCTTGACCAGTCAGTGGTGCGCTCTGGCAGCGGCGCTAGAAGTACAGTAGTTGAAAAGTAGATTTAAAACCAACTACTATATCTCGTATATTGAGAACTTCTACTTATCCATTCGGCGCCATTTAAATAAAATGCGACTACAAGTGTGATAACACACTATAAATAAGAAGTGTGAATTATATATTAGTATTTCTGGGTTTTATTTGAATAATATTTTCCTATCTACTTTGATTGTCATTAGTGGAATTCAATGAACTACAATCAATAATTTAAGAGTTGAATTATTGAACAAGACTCATTTTTTTCTAACTTTACAACATCAATTTACGCTATTTCTTTCATCACTTCTCAACCTGATCACTAGTGTTTTGTTACAGTTATATTTTTTTATGATTATGAAACATTCTGAACCACGTCTTGGCGTTCCAGAATCTGAACCCTGGAAAAGCCATCGCAGAATTGAAGAGATTGTTGATAGGACATGTGAAGAAACAGTGCCCTGATATGTAAACTGAAGAGAAGAAAATAGCGTATTCAATGTTCTTTTGTATGTATTGTTCTGTGTACTTGAAGAGGAGAGCTATTTAATAAACTTAAGTTTAATTACAATCGTAGAACTCTTTTGCGAAAATTATTGTAATAATTTACCCCACTACAACTTACTGTACCTTGTCAAATTGATATACGTGGGTAGGACTTAATATTAAATATCCCACTATGTATCTAAAATGTGTTTCGTTTTCTTGTTAAAAGAACAATTGAAAAAGAAAAAAAAACTTCTACACAAAATGACAATAGTTTCTGCAATGAATACGGAAAACTGTACAGTACACAATGTAGATCTGTGAAAAAAAGAGTTGGAAAAAGCATTAAATAGAGTATACCGATAGTAGATAATACCCGGCGTTGCCCGAGTATTCATTTAGTACAATTATTACTATTTCAGAACTGCCCAATCGGCTTGAGGGGAACGTGCGTGCCGCTGGTGGCCCGGAGATTCACTCCCAAGCAACAGCGTAGCGAAATAAGTGCGGGCGCGCTCGCAAATCTTACATCCGGACCCCCTTTATAAAAGTGTGCTGCAAACAAAAGTAGTGTTAGTCCCTTAAATATAATAAATATCATTTGACAGATTCCACTTTATCAATCTAGGATTAATACCCAATAGTAAGAAAATGACGCCTGTCTTTATTATTATTTTTTTTTATAAATTAACACTGTTATTAAACCTGAATGAATTGCTTACCTTTGTTGATTTAGAAACAGGGTTACACAAGGTAGTACCGAAGCGGAAAAATCGATCTTTGGGAAGATACTGTTTTTAATATTTCATTGCATCAACTATCGCAAAGTTTCAGAGAAAGTAGGTGTGAAGTAATTGGTATTCTTATAATCGCAAACTCTTCAGCCTAAAAGCAGGCCGTCTTTGACGTGCGCCTGCCTGCGTTGCGGGACCTGCGGCCCCGAAAGTCGCGCCACTTCTGTCAAGTGAGACTGGTGTTGAGCGAGGCGAGGGAAGGCGCTATTAAGGCGACTCCATAATTCGGCATTCGCAGAGCAGCTCATCCAATTCCGAACAGCTGATGTGTTCGCCGAATGTTCGCTCCCTTTGATGTGTCCTAAAGACCGACACGCGGTGGGTAGGGCGAGCACCGAATGTTCGTCGCTCGGCAAGTATGAAGCAACTCATCCCCATTATTCTGGATTCGCCGAATGCCGCATGCGTGGAGCCGCCTTTAGGCGACGCGTGTTTACGAAAGGCCATGCGGTGCGAGAGACCTTCAGAACGGTTGACGCACGCCTCGTGCATTGTGGACCCAATCCCTACTTCTCAGTACTGCGAATTGGCCGCAACAAATATTTTGGACATTAATCCAATTTTTACTTTCCAGTATCATATGTATATACGAAGTAATATTTCTATAATACGGAAAGTTATGTAATGATGCACGAAAAAACTATTTTAGGTAGAAAAAAATTCATTGCCGGGCGAATAAAAAAATCATAGGTAACAAAAAAGTGGATAAATCCAGTTGCAAAATTAACCAAAAAATCCTCTAACGCGCAGTGTAACCAAAAACCCTTTTTTGTGAGTCCTTAATACCGAAAAACCAAAGGTCGGCAAAACGTCCGTCCGTCCATCCCATAGAGTGGAAAAAAGTACGTATTCCGTCCGTTGAAAAAATCCTTAAAATTTGAGGGCACTTTACATAAAGCCCCTGGGTCATTTTCAACATTTTCTCAAAACCGGCTTCAAATGTTTTCTTCAAATTTCTTGTAAGAATAAAGTAAAATACACTTATAAAGGTGGCATAGGTCAGATTTTCACAGTTAACTGAATTTTCGAAAATTGCAATTTTTGAATTTTTGCGGAGTCTTCCTACAACTACATAATTGAATATAGAGATTTTTTCTTCAAATGCAATTTGTTCTCTGTATGTTAAGGACATATACATTTTTTTAATTGTAGTTTTTACGCAATATCGCGCGCAATATTTGTAATTTAAAAAAATCCAAAAACGAGATTTTATCCAAAAAAAAGTGTTCCAAATTTTTTCTTTAAATTTGTGGTAGAAATAGTGCGAAATGCACTTTTGTTTTTATCAAATGTACTGTTATTTAATATTCATAAAATAATATTTCTAGAAAAACGAAAAATTAAGAAATTATAAAAAAAGGGGGGGAGACTTCGGGCGGCGATAGATGATTGCTGGCAAGTTAGTATAGCTAGCCGAGACCAAAGGAAATAGAAAACTTATACGGGAAAGTCTGTGACATTCTGCATCACCATTAGTTATGTACTAAAACCTTGCGAGATAGCGAATTTACATGTTTCTTTGACATAATGTTTCCTCATTACAGATAGTAGTACGTAGTTCGGAGTCAATTTCATTGTAATAATTTATGAAGATCTGAAAACAGCAACTAACAACAACTATTAAATGTATTAAATGCTACTTTCCCTTTTTCTCTCGCCACTCTGACGTCTCGCCAAAGAAAATCGTTGTAATAGGTCTCTGAAAGGCTATCGCCATGTGACGTCAAAGTAACCGATGCCTCAAGTTACTAAGCCCAGTTGCCAAGTTTAATTAACAAATACTGATAAGACAGTATGAGACAATAACTGCTGGATTTAGTGGTGCAAGGGCAATGCACAGATTTGTTTCGTGTTTAGCCTAGTTATACAGTCAGAGGTAGCGGAATTGCTTCCTTCTTAGGGATGTCCATAAACAGCACTTTGCAATTACGAAATAACTAAATAATTAGGAAAATAAATAGGTTGATAACATACCAATAAATATCTTTCATCTCGTATGAAAATAATGGAGATTTTACTCTGGCAATTCGAATCCTGCACGCAAGTGTTATTTGGCTCCGAACCATCCGCGCTATGAGCAACAAAATTGATTCCGTACGGACCGCGAACTATTGCAAAGCGGATATTTTGGGGGCACTTTACAAGAAGCCGCAATATCACTTGCGACGTTTTGTACGAAAAAAGCGAAAAGTGCGAAAACAACCTAATTTTTTATTTAAATGTTTTATTTGATCAGAGGAGAGTAACGCTCCTTAAAATGGCGAATCAATTTCGGTTAGAAATTTCTTCTGTGAAAAGCAAATATTTTAGATATATTAGAACAATATGTTAATTCATGGCTTGCTGAACTTGAGTAATTATACGCACTAGCCTTGTCAAATATTTTTTGCGGGTTTGAAAATATTTTGCGGCTTCTACTATTCTTATAACAGTATGTAATACACACTAACGAAAACATGTGCTGTTGTAGCATCACTAGTTTCTTTATCGTATACGTATTGAGAAAGTATTATAATGATGGAGGAAGAGTGTCAATTTTGGGGCGGATAGACACCTTTTGTTGGAAAACGATTCGTTTTTTTTTTCAAACAAATTGAACATATCACTTTTTAAGGACTGATGTTTTAAGACAGATTTTGTTGAAGCCAGAAATCTCTGTTTTCAATTGCGAACTTTTAAAATTTTAACTTTTTGCAATTAAGAAACGGAATGATAGCCGGAAATGGGACTAGCACCATATTAGTACCGTTTCTTGAAACATACGGAGAGAAAATTTAAAGGAAACGTTTGGAGTAGTTTTCGAGAAAAAATTGTTTAAAAAAATTAAAAATTGCCTTATTTCGCGCAAAATTACACGAAAACTACTTATATTTTCGAAAAATTGAACATGGCCGTAGTTCAAGATCTGTCTTTAACTACAATATTGAATTTTAATGAATTCTGTTCTTCAAAAACCGATCTTGAAATTATGTCATGTATAGGCAATTTCTCGAAAGGGTGAGTAGTTTTAAAGAATTTCTGCTTGAAGTTAATGAAATTTATAAAATAAACAACATTTTATTTAATTTTCCTGGAAAATTAGTCAATTTTTAAACAATGGTTTTCTCGTAATTTCTGCTTAAAGTTAATGCAATTCCTATTAAGAAAAACATTTTGTCAAAAATCAGTCCAGATATTTTCTGTGAAGTTTTCTCCACGGATAGATCAAGGATCGCTTAAAATAATGAGGCAGATCATATTTTCATTGCACGCTCTGAAATTTCGAAAATTGCAAAGGTTAGAAATTATGCGAGGAATAATGCGTTTTATTTATTTAGTAAAATAAAGGAAAAACTGTGAGTGACCTGTGGGGAAGAGTATCACATGCGCACGTTTTCTTGAGTTCCAGAATCCCTTCCTAACATTTCAACTATAAATAGTTGAAAGATGAATAAAAGTTAAAAAATAAATAAATTAATTAAATGACAATAGGAATAATAATCATATTTTTTAAAGCGCGAGATTAGCAATATTTGTAGAAACCAGACATTTTCGTTCGCGAGTTATAGAAATCTTATTTGCAACGTTAAACGAACTCCAGATTTGGTTTTTTGAATTGCTAACAAAATAGTTACTGACTCCCAACTCTACTTCTACCCCTACAAGTAAAAGGGGAGTTGGACGAAGCGTGCGTATTGTGAAGCTACAATTATGATCAGAAACAAAACAAGGGGTCATCTCAGCTTTTGCCCAATGTATCAGGAAAACTGGACAAAAACCTATTTGAGATGGGTGTTGTTCGGGCAGCACTAGTTTTTATTTTCAAATTAACAATTTTTTATAAATTGCATAATTTCAAAAATTTATTAGGAGGGGGGTTGGTGAAAGAGTCCCCGTCATCCGAAATACTTTCTGAATCTGTCTCTAAAATTTCAGACCCTTTTGATTGCTTCTATTTCATCTATCCACTTCCGGGTTGTTCAACTCGCGGACCGAATTATTGTGGCCCGCGAAAGGTTTATTATTGAATAGTGGAAGTATCTTGCATCCTAAACATTGTGCACACAGCGCACGCGCTCTGCCGCGGTCAACATCTCCTTTATGTAAAAATAGTAGATTGTTTAAATTTATAGATGTTTCCCCAGTAAATCCAGAAATTCAAAATCATTTCACTGTGTTATGCATGATATCACTCATGGTCCCCACCCTCCCACCCCGTTTCAGAGCAGCCGGGCAAAGTGCCGAGATCAACAATACGAGGAAGTCAGGTGTGGATCGCCCGAGTAATGAAAATATGGCCTACAATCATTTTACAGTGTTGTAGACCCTGAAGCCTTGGAAGTTGGACACCCTTGATCTAGTTCATTCAAATGTGGTATATCGGTAAAGGTGGCAACGCTCGTTATCTCGTTTTGAGCAAATCACTTACGTCATACGGCGCTGTAATTGAATTGAAATAATGCCCACCCGTTGTGGCTAGGAAATCCTTGCCCAATGGCGAGGTCAACAAGTCACGGTCAAACAACGTCATAGAGTTACGAGTGCGGACCACGACATTCAGTCATTTCGTCTCGCCGTGAGAGGAACGTGGTTCCCGCTCCGATTGGAATCAGCTGGAGAGACGCGCGGGCGGACAGGTTTGGAGGTTAAGAGGCAACAGGTGGGACCGACACTTGCCACCTGTAACACGTGAAGTTTGCAACTTGTAGTATTAGAATATATAATTTTAACTGTTTTATCATTTTCATTACAGTGTATTTTTGGTGTTTTTAAGTTTAAAAAACCAACCAAAAAAACAAATATTTCTACAATGAGCGCTAATGTTCTTGTGATCGGCAGTGGAGGACGGGAACATGCCATTTGTTGGAAGCTGTCTCAGTCGCCTGAGGTAACTATATTTATTTTTTATGTGGATTTATTAAATTACATATATTCTTGAAATTATTTTTTTTTTCTTCTTTTTCAGGTTCAGACACTGTTTGTTGCTCCTGGAAATGCTGGCATTGCTGAAGTAGACAAAGTCCAATTGGTGATTGATTTAAAAGTGAATGACAATGATGTGAGTGTATTTATTTCAAACCATTAATGACTGAATAATGGAGTATTTGATTTTCGCCCCTTTTGTTTTCTACAAATACTTTTTATTTGCTAATTTTTATAGTAACAAAATATCAGGCAGAGGGGGAGAGCTTAAGGGGCGAAAGCTCTCCCAGTATTGAAACAACAACAACAAGAAAACTTAAAGTTGTGCAAAAATTTATGGTTCCATTGCTTGGCAATAGCAATTGTTAAATTTTATTTTTACAATGTTGAAACAACTCTTGAGTAATATTGATCTCTTTTATGATTCACTGAGATATTTTTTCATAAAGTTTCAAGAAATATTATGTTAAAAAGTCTCTGACAGTATAGTCTTGGAAATACAGTGAAAAATGTTGACTTGGTGAGCACCCCTGAAATAAAATTCCCATTCAGGCACTGCAAGGTATTATCACGACATATTTCCTTTTAAAGGCTGTGGTCTCGTGGTGCAAGAGTCATTGCATTGACTTGGTGGTGGTTGGCCCTGAAGACCCCTTGGCTCGAGGCATCGCAGACACTTTGCAGAAGGCCGGGCTCAATTGCTTTGGTCCTGGATCCCGTGGTGCTCGCATTGAGGCTGATAAAAACTGGGCGAAGAGCTTCATGCAAAAACATGACATTCCAACTGCCCGATGGAAGGCATTCACTGATGCCCAAGCAGCCAAGAAATTTATTAGAGAGTGAGACCCATTGATCTTCCTTTATTTTAAATTTAATGTAAATTATATTAGGTATCATTCTGATTGTTCTCGTTGGCCTCCCTTTAATAATGTTTTGTCTTTAAATTTTAAAACTAATTTCATGTAGATGAATTTAAATTATGCATGTGATTTTCGTGTTGAAAGTTGTCTGTAAATAGGAAAATTGTAAATTAACTTAATACATCTTTGTTTTATTGCTTCTGTGGTAAACTTGGATATTTTTGAGAACAATGATTGGTGGTTTTAATGGAAATGCTGAGTTGTCTTTAAAGTTTAAATCAACTGAATATTTTAATTGGGAAGTAGTGGTTGAAATATCGAATACAAACAAGAAGTATATTTTTTGTTTTTTTTTCCCTCTCAGAGCTCCTTTCCGTGCTCTGGTGGTAAAAGCTAGTGGGCTAGCAGCTGGGAAAGGAGTTATTGTAGCAAACAATCAAGAAGAGGCTTGTAAAGCTGTGGATGACATCCTCTCAAATAAATGCTTTGGAGAAGCTGGACATACTGTGGTTGTGGAGGAACTCTTAGAAGGAGAGGAAGTGTCTGTAAGTACAACCCTTTTTGGTACAACATGCTTATTTAAGAACTGTTCCAATTACACTGCTTTGGACCTTCATGCGATGGATCCTCAGCTAATTCCAAGGAAACTGACAACCCCCATAGCTTCTTCTGGGTGGCTCAGAGCATGTGCTTAAATACAACTTGCCTCAGGAGATGTTAAAAAATATCTTCACCTACTACTTCAAACTTCTTGTACTTAATAAATACATTCTGGCTTGCATTTGATATTCTCTGACTAACATTCTTCTTCACTTTTTTCACCAAAGTGAGTCATAAAAAAAAACACCAAACCAACTTTGGAAGACTGATGCCAACTGAAGAAAAATTAAAAATTTATGTGACAAAATAATGTAGCTTGCCACTTACGGTTTCCAGTGGTGTAGCCAGGGTTGGACAAAATACATTAAATTTAGTATTTAAATACTTCACCAAACTACTTTATAAATCATCATCATCATGAACTGTTGGTGTTTAGGCTTAAGTCTGTTCCATTGTTTCTGCAGTATTCCTGGTAGTTAGTCTTCCAGGTGTTCCTGCCGTTGCCACTTCTTTCGTGGTCTTCCAGCATTTCTGTTCCCTGCTGGTTTATATTTCCATATTATTTTTTTCTATCTATTTTTGTTCATTCTTTTAAGGTGATCTTGCATTTTATTTGAGAGTCTTCTATTTCCTTTACTAAGTCTTTATATTTTAGTTTCTTTCTAAGGTCTTTGTTTCTCAGTCTGTCCTTTCTTGTAACTCCTCTCTTTTTCATTATCCAGTTTCAGAGCCGTACATAGCTATAGGTTTAGCCATTATATTGTGAATTCTACTTTCTTGCGCTTTAGAAGGAACTTCTTAAGAAAATGTTATGTAATGCTGCGCGAAAAAACGGCGAATTTTTTACAGAAAACCCCTTATTACAGGGCCCTGGTTACGAAAAAGTGAATAAATCCAGTTTTCTAAATTTAGGGGGAGAATCCTCTAACACCATATCTATGTTTTGTGGGCCCTCGATACAGAAATATCGATTGACGGCAAAACGTCTGTCTGTCCGCCCATTTTTGAACAACGGTGACTGCTAAATCGTTCCACCGATTTTCTCCACCGATATTCCCCGATCGATCTGGCTGATGGCGCGGCCCCTTGGATTTGAAATCGATATTTTAATTTTGGGGGATACTTAACATAAAGCCCGTGGGTCGTTTTCAAAATTTTCAAGACAATGGCTCCATCGATTTTGGTTAAATTTTGTTGTTGGATAGCCTAAAGGACATTTAAGAAAATGCCACGGTGTCTCATGTTTGTTGATAAACCCTGATTTTTCGAAAATTGAAAAAATCAATTTTTTCTGAGAATTCCTGCAAATAAAATATTAAAGATACAGATTTTTCTCCTAAATAAAATCTGTTTCTTAAAGATAGAATTTGAAATAAGGCTATTTACATTTTTCGAAAAATTGAGTATTTTTCTCGTAATTTTGCGTAAAATATAGGCAATTTTAAATTTTTGTTTAAACACTTTTCTCCTCAAAACGACTCCATTGGTTTAGATCAAATTTTGTTGGTGGAATGAAGAATGTGTAAGAGAATAGTATAAGCCTCATATTGGTTAAAAACCTTAATTTTTAGAAAATCGAAAAGATTCTCATCATCTTCCTACATCCACAATTATGAAGATTATTTTTTTAAATCAAGATGTGTTTGTCAAAAACAAATTTTCAAATGAGAGGTCATGTTGAATTTTTCGAAACTGATTATTTTTGGAGTAATTGGATGTCAAATTTAATCACCCGCTCTGAAAATACTTCGCATCTTGATCATAATTTTATGTGTTTTAAGGCAGTTGGATGCTACATAAGTTAGAATGTTTATAGTATTTCCTATTTCTTTTTTCGTTTCTTACTTTAGAGCTTTTGGGTGATGTTTACAAATTAAGTTTTTAGAAATAATTTAAAACCTATTTTAAATTAATATGAAATAAAGATTGCTAGCCTTTAGTCACCTGCTTCCAATTTATGCAGTTGAATGCTACTTAAGTTAGAATTTTTACATTATTTCACATTTCATTTTATTATTATTTATTATGTATTTATGTTATTTAGTTTTAAATTGCATCCTTTAATTGTGGTAAATGTCAAAATGAATAGATGAGCAGTCATTGTTGGTTGTATTTACTCATTGTTGTAAAACCGCACAGATAACATGATAATGACAGCTGCTTTCCATTTGCGGAAATAAAAACAGATATTTTTATATGTTTGTAGAATATTACAATGCCATAGTGTTTAATAATTATTATTAGATATTTTTTGATCTATTTGGTTTCCAATGCTATCAATATCGAATTATTTATCAACTTTTAAATATTTTACTTTTTTGCATTCTGCTTATTTTTCACACCAAATGTTCTATGATTTCAAATGAGTTTTACAAACATAATTTGGAGAGAAATTGAGGAATAAATAGTATTACATAACCATTACTAATGGTGAGAAAGTACATGCTGTTTTAGCATCCATGTCTCTGCCTGTGTCGTTTAATTGTTCCGCAGATTTTGTTGTATTTATACAATTTATTTTCTAAATCTTGGGTGTGGTTAAATACATTTATATATCGAAGATATGAAAATTCGTTGACTTGTTCCAGTATTTCTCCATTTATTACAATTTTGGCTCTTTTGTTCTTTGTCTTGCAGTGTCTTAACTTGTTTTCTGAACTGATATTTTCATAGAATATTTCTGGGCCTTATTTGTCAGTTCAAAAACTGCTTTTTTGTAGATCATCTTCAGAATCTGTTATGATAGTTTGATCATCAGCGTATAAGATTGTTTCTATTTTTTTGTCTTTCCTGATTTGGATATCCTGTTTGATTTTCTTCCTCCAGTTTCTCACTAGGTGGTTGATGTATATGTTGAAGAGAGTAGGCGACAGATCATATCCCTGTCTTAGGCCACTGCTGCTTGCAAACTTTCACCTGTCTCTTAATATTATTTTAATGTTGGAGTTTTTGTGTAAACTCTGGATCATACTGAGTAATTGATACTTTATAAATAAGTGTTTAAACACGTACACAAAATACATTAGGACTTGATGTGCTAATTATGTACATATTTAAAATACTCAAAATGCTGTAAATATGTAATAATTTTTGTAAATGTTGTTTATCCCAATGTATTATAATTGTTAATTACTGTAAATTAGTAATTGACAGTCATACAAATTTCTGAACAATAACTATTGTAATGTATTGTAAAAATATGTATAAATATTTTCAATTATAAAATTATATCAAAAATATGTTTAACGTAAAGAAATGGGATTTCCTTTTAAAACGACTAATTTTTCTAACAAATCATCAGACAATAAATCCCTAGTTGGCAAATGTATAAAACCTGCAAAGGAAAAGTCATTCAACCAGCATGGGTAAACCTAAACTAGTGTTTCAAATATAAGTATTTAAATACTTCCCCTACCCTGAGTACAGCAAGGCAGAATGTCATCACTATTTTCATTATTGTTAATGGAAAAGTAGTGTGACTGGTAGCATAAGCCCAAGAAACATAAGTCATAAGAGGTTGTGGATGGTATTTGTACTTTGTAGAGTTTGGTACATAATTGTTTTATTTTGGATCTCCCAAGGTCCTGGCTTTTACTGATGGAAAAACTGTTCAACCTATGCTTCCCTCACAAGACCATAAACGTCACTTGGATGGTGATAAGGGATTAAACACTGGAGGAATGGGTGCTTACTGCCCATGCCATCTTCTATCTGACAGTGAACTGGAATGTGTTACTAAGAATATCCTGCAGCGCACAGTGGATGAACTTGCTAAGGAAAACTGCCCTTTTGTTGGTAACTATACAACACAGTTTTATGCAGAATTTGCTTTACTCAATATTTTTATAATAGTTTCTTGTTGGTTTTGTAACTAACATGGCAAAACATGCAAATAGAATGTACTATATTTTGAAATGTTTACTCTAATGGTGAAGTAAAACTCCTTAATGCCTCTATATTTCCTTGGGATCTAATCTTATGCTATATTTTGTTGGAGCTTTCCTAAGAATTAAAAAAGTAGTTCAATTTAGAAGTTTATAATATTTAATAATTTCATGACCCTTATCTAAGTTCTTAGTGATAAAAAGTATTATAATTTTGCCACATACAAACAAATATAAAAAAGAAACCATTTTTAATATTTAATTTCTCCTAGTAATTTAAAGTATTTTTTTTAATTTGCTGACCAATTTATTTGCTGCTCAGGTGTTTTATATGCTGGTCTAATGGTAACCAAAGAAGGCCCAAAGGTTCTGGAGTTTAACTGTCGTTTTGGTGATCCTGAAACACAAGTTATTCTACCTTTGCTAAATACTGATCTATATCACATAATGCAGGTAAATATTTCATATTTGAAGTTATTCTAGCACAATGCTACAATATAATTAACGATTTGTATGTTTGATATTTAGGCTTGCTGTGCTGGAACTCTACAAAAGCTCCAAATTGAATGGCAAAAGGAGACATATGCGGTTGGTGTGGTTATGGCCAGTAAAGGTTACCCTCAGTCTTCCAGTAAAGGTGATGTAATAACAGGTAATTATTTGTTTTATGTTGATACTTAGCAATATTTTAAAATTTAAAGAAAGTTCATACACACTAAATTTAATAGATATGCTGTAATTTGATGGACTACTTCAATAAGAACATCAAATTTTATTCAAACAAACATAAGCTCTCTGTTATTAAATTCATTTTTGCTGTATGTGTATTTTTCCACTTATTTTGCTCTTTAATTTATCTTAACTCGTGGAATTATCAGTTGCTGAACAAAATAAATTTTTGTGTTCCACAGTTGAAAGTGTGACTTAGTTGATGAGTCAAGAAACGCTTCTATTTAAAATGGAATGTAAAATTTTTAATTTACATATCTAAGATGAACAATTATCTTGTTTAACTCTCGATGTAGGCCAATTGAATAAAAAATAATATTGGGTTACCAACAGAATTTTGTAGACATCTCCAGTGCTAAAAAATAATCATTTGGAGATGGTTGTGAAGAAGAGATTTCTCATCTATTAGCTCTTGTCTTTATGGAATGAATATGTTACACTGTTACATGTATCTTCTATACATCAATTTTTGAGTATAAGTATTTATGTCAAGGCTAAGGTTTTATCAAAGAAATGTATAAAACAATTTTGTTTGGTTATTTTAGGGCTGAATTTACCAAAATGCATCACCTTCCATAGTGGCACAGCCATTAAAAATAATGCAATGGTCACAAACGGAGGTCGTGTGCTGATAGCTGTAGCATTGGCTAGTGATCTGGCTATGGCTGCAGCACAGGCTACGAAAGCATGTAGCCAAATCTCTTTCCCAGGTGCTCAATACCGAAGTGATATTGCTCACAAAGGCATCGCTCGGTGAGTGTAATGTAATATTCGATTCCCATTTGCAGAAAGGCACCTCCAATCAATTTTCCTGTAAATCTTTCTTATGTTCTTGGTTGAGTTCTACAAATTACACCAACCACATCACCCCTCCTGAACTCTAAATGTTAATATCTCAGTTTTGCTACCACCCCAAGCTCTTCATAAATAGGACTAAGACATGTACATTTATAAGACCAGTTACACATTAACCGAACAAGAGATATTAATATTTATGAATAACAGGCGTCTCTTCCTGTACCTGGTGTGGCAATTCTTCTTTTTGCCCCAAGCCCTTCAATATTATAAATAAAACTTAATTTGTTGATAGTGATATTTTGTGGTGTAAGTTGGCAAATTATGATTGAGTCAGTCATTTTTTTATATTTTGGTAAAGTTTCCAAGAAATAATTATAAACGTTGTCATTGCCAACAGTAGTATTTATTGCAAAAGCAGCTTTCGATGGCTTAGTCATCATCATCAGTTGTCTGCTGAATGGAAGCCACAAAAACGACTACCTATGATGGCTAAGCCATCGAAAGCTGCTCTTGCAATAAATACTACTGTTGGCAATGCCAACATTTATAATTATTTCATGAAAAATGCCAACAATAATGCACCACAACACCTATAAAAGCTTCCAAGACTTTCCATTTTTTACATCCATAAATATTAACTAATGAAAGAATTTTTATTGTGCAAAAAATCATCCTTCAGAATTTGATGGAATTACGCAAGGCCACTGGTTGCCAATTAAGGGATGACACTAATTTGCTGAGAATAATAAGAGATAGGAACCAGAAAATATAAAATATTTTTAGAAGTGTTTTGTGTAAGACAAAAATTTGTGTTTCTTGAAAAATGATGTGCTAAGTGTTTACTTTTTTGTATACTGCAATGAAAATGCCAATTTTTTGACTGATAAACTAGGTTTGTGGGCCTCAATACTAACAAAAGTGGATGATTCTTGCTTTTATGTTGTAAATTACTTTCTCAAATAGTCTGAATACATTCTTCATTACATTCTCAAATAGTCTGTTTTGTATCTTCAGTGCCAAAAAAAATGTTTTTGGCCAATCTGGCTATTCACCCATGAACAACACTAAAACATACAAAGAATTTTCACCAAAATTAATATTCCATGATAAATGTGGCTAATGTCACAGCTCCTTGAATTTGAAACAAATATTTAATTTTTTTAGGGTACTTTAGATTACATGAAGACTTAATGATATTGTCGAAAATTTTCTCACCTGAATGAAAATGTGGAAAATGTGAATAGAAGAAATTATGTTTCTTTTTAATTTTTCTTAATGTAATATTTTCTTCAAAATTAGATCTTTAAATAGTAGCACACAATTGCAAAAGGATTGCAAAAGTTCGTTGTGTTGTTTCTCTTGTTTTACATGTTAAATACTGAAACCAGAATGTTTGAAAATGCAAAATATTCCTCAATATTAGATCTTCAAATCCTGTCATGAGCATTTGTTTAAAAATATTAGTAGTTTTCATGTTAAAATGTGGGGCTTCACAAGAACATTACAAATATATTATAGCTCAGCAATGATAAGCATGTTAATGTTGTAAAGTTGGCTTAGTCACCAAAGCCTGAGCTTCCACTGCTCACATTTGAATCCCAGTTTGATTGCATTAGGGTATTTCCCCCTTCCATTTCCGTCTTTAAAATTTGTAAGAACAGAACACAATTCACTAATTTCAAAGGCAAGAATCAGTTCTCGTTTAAACCTCTGGTGCTTTTATTAGGAGTTTTTCAAGTGATGGCTGATGTTTTAGAAGGGGATTGAATTACAAAACTGTTACCAATAACACTGGAAAATATGAGCTATTGTATACGAGCTAGTTTTATCTTTAAATTACATTTCCTATCTAACAACTTTGTCTTTACATACTTCTGTCTTTGACAACTGTAAGAGATAAGGGGAAGAATACTTATATACCCTTCCCCTTCTTCCCTTTAAAAACAGCTTTGGATGTGAATGATCTTATTTTATCTTCTAGTTTGGAATATGATTTTAATACTTCTTATTTTTCAGATCTATGTTGTATCAGGGTTTACTCACTTATAAACAATCAGGAGTGGATATCACAGCAGGAGACGAGTTTGTGAAACGCATCAAACCCCTAGTTGCACAAACACATCGTGTAGGTGAAATAGGAGGATTGGGTGGTTTTGGAGCTCTCTTTGATGTTGCTGCCGCAGGTTACCGAGACCCAATCCTTGTGTCGGGGACTGATGGCGTTGGAACTAAGTTAAAGGTAATACATAGGTCAAAGTTCTGTACAGTTTGCAATCTTTCATATTTAAACTTTTATTGAATGCCTTTTGACTGTAGTTTCACAGATAACTTAAAGACACAAATATGAACTTGTAAAATAATACTTGAGCAATATGAATAAGTACATAAGTAAAGTTAAGAAAATCAAGCTAGCAGTGGGACATAGTTACACATTCAATTATATCAGTGCCAAACATGAAGTTGATGATACTTTTGAAGTTATATACAGGTGCCTCAGAATTGTAGCCAGCGTTTTCATTCAAAGCATTGGTCTGTATGTATACACAGAAATTTGCATGTAAATAACAGAATACAATTATATTAGAAAATATGTCATGCAGTGGAATCTGTACGGAAAGGGGATTAGACCCATTCAGTTTTTGTTTTCTAACTTTCTTCTAACTTTTTGTGTATATAATTTCCATGGCCTGTTGGATAATAAGTTTTTAAATTCAGTTTCCATTCACATATTTAACACTCGAGTTATATAGCCTATCAATGTTTCCAGCTTAGCCCATACATAATGGTAAACAACCCAATGGTAATAGCCCACTTGTACAGAGAACCATATTCAGGTATTCCAGCGATGAACTAAGAGTGTTACTATCAGTTATTATTTCTTATTTTAACTTTCACAATATTGTGATCATGGGGATTTTTCATTCAGAAACAAAACATTGGAAAAGAAAAAAAGCATCAATCATAAAACATTTGTCAAAAAAACATCAGTGTTAATACATTGATGTTTAAAACATTGATGTTTCTACAAAAACTAGATGTTTTAAAATCATTGACAACAATGTTGCATTCCTAACTTTCACACTCACACACTCGCGCACTCACACACTCGCGCACTCACACACTCGCGCACTCGCGCACTCACACACTCGCGCACTCACACACTCGCGCACTTGCGCTTGTAAATGTTATTTATTGAACATGAAGAATGTTTTCTGTGAATCATGTATGCCTAAGTTTTGTTGGAATAAATATACATTTTCAATTTATCTGCAGCAAAAAGTGAAAATTTTAAACGCATGCTTATAATTATTTTGGTGTTTGTTGCAGATAGCACAAGAGATGAATATACATAACACAATAGGCATTGACCTTGTGGCCATGTGTGTAAATGATATCCTGGCTCATGGAGCAGAGCCATTATTTTTCTTGGACTATTTTGCTAGTAGTCACCTGGATGTAGACGTTGCTGCTCAAGTGGTTGCAGGAATCGCAGAAGGCTGCAGGCAGGCTGGATGCGGTCTTGTAGGTAAATAAGTCTTAAATTTCCTTATAAAAAATCAAGAAAAGTTGGTGGAGGTACTATTGCACATATTTTCTCAATTTATTTCTAAATTTGCGATTTTCAAAAATTCAGAGACTTCTATGAAAATGAGACATGCACCATTCCTTTAAGCATTCCTTGTTCTGTCAATGGAAAGACATAATCTGTTTATAAAATAAATAAACTGGCAGGGTAAACCTGAATGTTCATGATAAAACAAAGAAATACATGGGAAAGAAATATAAGATTACAGTATGGCAAATAGAAAAGAAAACAAAAAAGAAAGTAATGATAATCAAGAAAGAACCGTTTAAAATTGGTCCAAATGTTGTTTAAAACAGTGAATGTTGGGAGCATTGACAAACAGTGGCAGGAAGGCGATTCCAATGATCAAGACTCCGTTTGACAGGAAAAACGTATATGAATTGCACAAAAAGTTGTCTTTGTCCAACTTGTAATCATGATCTCAAAGGTGGAAGTTGCAAAGAAAGAAATCATTGAAACCTGGGCAGTTGTAGTGACCGTTTAGTATTTTATATGTTTCAATGAGATCTTGCAAAATCCAATCATTAGGTGTTTAGAGAGTTTTCCATGTCTCTCATGGTGTAACAGATGTCTCAGGGCAGGAAAGTACTTCAAGGATTTCTTCAGCAGGCTATCTAAACGAGTCAGGTCATGGGTGAAGTTTGATGCCCAGATGCAGTGACCAAATTCAATTATTGACCTAATGTAAGTAGTGAAGACGTGGAAAAGTTAAGGTGTCAGGTTCTTCAAGGCTCTGTTGACCAGATAGGAGACTGTTGCCTTTTTTCAGTGCATGTTAAACTATTCTCTACTTCAGATCCTGTGAGATCATAATTTCCAGGTTAGATTGAATTGGAACATGTGGAACATGAAGAAATGGGAGAAAATATTTGGAGCATTTCTTGAGAATATGTTTTTTTTATTACATGAAGTACAAATTATACTTGAATACTCGAATTTTGCAATAACTTATTGTTTTTTCAAAAAAATGTACGTAAGCTTTTTTAAAGATCGGATATTTTAAAATAGATTTTGTTTCTAGCAAAAATCTCTCTTCAATTTTGTAGTTTTAAATAGTTAATAAAGTCATATTTTTAACTCTGATTCAAAAAAATCCAAAATTGATATCTTGAATGAGATAAGATAGATTATATGAGTCAGCATGTACAAAAATTATGGAAAATGTACCACAAAATATAAGAACTTGAGCAGAATTTAAAAAGTTGTGTTGTTTTCTTTCTTTCTTTCTTTTTAGCGTGTTTGCGCGTGCGCTTGAGTGTGTGTGTGCGCGTGCGCTTGAGTGTGTGTCTGCGCGTGCGCTTGAGTGTGTGTGTGCGCGTGCGCTTGAGTGTGTGTGTGTGTGCGCGTGCGCTTGAGTGTGTGTGTGCGTGTGTGCGCGTGCGGGTGCGCGTGCGCGTGCGTGTGTGTGTAAATTTGAATTTTGAACAAAATGCTTCAGAAAAATCTTAGACAATAAGGTCAATTTTCTTGATAAATAAAATCAAATATTTATGCATAAATAATAAGCAATTTTTATTCCATTCACTTGCATGCAGTTCAAAATATTAAATGTAGAACAATTCTGCGACAGGTGGAGAAACAGCAGAGATGCCAGGCCTGTATGCACCAGGAGATTATGACTTAGCAGGTTTCACAGTGGGAGCAGTAGAAAAAACAAAAATGCTTCCACGTACCCAAAATATTGTTGCTGGGGATGTGGTTATTGGCTTGTCTTCTTCTGGAGTGCACAGCAATGGATTTAGTTTAGTTCGTAAAGTTTTAGAAAAAAGAGGGTTGAAATTCCATGATTCTGCTCCATTTAGTTGCACTGGAAAGTCTTTGGGTAAGTTTTGCTGAAATTTGCTCCGGTTAAAATGGTAAATTGTAATGTGATTAAAAGAACTTTGATTTTTTTAATTAAACATTTTTATGCATTGTTATTAAAAGCTTTAAAAAAAATTCTTTAAAAATTGTTCATTAAAATTTATTTCACAGTATTTAAATTTTTCACATTTTTCCTCATGGAATTCAAAATGTGGATGTATATAAATTTAAAATAGAGCATCACAATTTGTTAAATAAACTTAAGTTTTAAAGTAATTATTTTATTTATGAAAGGGAAATTTTAAGATAAAATTAGTAATTTTAAGATAATACTTAAGGTAAATGATAATTGTTGTTTACAAAAATTTGTTTTGTATCATTGAAGGAGAGGAGTTCCTCACACCAACGAAAATTTATGTGAAGAGTCTACTCAAAGTACTTCAGTCAGGACGTGTGAAAGCTCTTGCACATATTACTGGTGGAGGGCTTACAGAGAACATTCCCCGTGTTCTGCCTCCTGGCCTTGCTGTTAGATTGAATGCTCAAAAATGGAATGTGCTCCCAGTTTTTGCTTGGTTAGCAACTATGGGTAAGTTTTATTCACATTTGTGTATTTAAATGGGTGAAAACCAAAATGGTATAAGTGACGTTTTATAAATTCTGAGAAAACACGTTTATTTTAGGCTATATTTCAGTAACATTGTATTTTTGTGGTTTTAATGAACAATTGAAATGCCATGTTTTTAATGATGAAACAAAGCACCATTCCTTTACAGTGATATTAACTTAAATAAATAGATTTCTAAGAACTTATAAAATGTCACTTATTCTGCTCTTCATCCATTCATTTATTCTATTTACATATTTACTAGTTGAAGCCGTGCAATTACATCATACAGAAGGAAGAGCTGTTTAAAAGTTACAACAGAAAATACCATGAATATACACATGTTTTACATTTATCAAGATCTTAACATTTATACACTGATATTGTTGTGACCTACAACAGCAAATCATGCTCTCAACGTTACCTTAATATAATGACTGAATTTTTTAATGTCATCACCATAATTTTTATATAAAGGAACCTGTGTCAGACACCTAGGCAATATAATTAATCACAGGCTATTGTTTTAAAAACATGCAACACAATGTTCTCAAAACAAGACCAACTGTTCATTTCCAGTGAATTTGCCAGGTTGCGCATGAAGCCCTCTAATGGAACAGGATTTCAAGTCTGAACACCTTTCAGTTCGCGATGATGATGAATTAAAAAGGAATACTAAAAAAACTAATAATAATCCATCATTCACAAGAGTTAGGTTACCAAAAAGCATCGCGAATGTCAAAACTGCAAATGTTGAGTCTATCTTTAAATGAAGAAAGGTGGGTTAGGTTCCTAGATATCGAAAAGCTGTTTAAAAAAGAAAGAAAAAAAATCGTCCAAACAATTGCAATAGAACTGAGTACTACGAACAGAATTCTCAATTAACATCCCAAAGTAATGAAATCAAACAATATTTTATGCTGGTTTCAAAGTTGAAAGTGATTGGATATAGGATTTGGCTCATTTTTGGTTTTATTGCTCTCCTCGATCCAAGTATGGAATAGTTGCTGCTGTATTTCTCTCTTAAATTTTGAAGTTATTTCAATGATCTGGTCACATTCAAATGTCCTTTCCACCAGAGCATGTTTGTTAATAAAATATAATATTGTTAACAAGTTTTAGAATGCCATTAATGGTTTTGAAATTGCTCCAGAACACAGTTTCTAACTTCCATTACTTCATTATTGCATTCAAGGAGGTTTCCTTGGCTAATGATTTCCTGAACCTCCTCTTCAGTGAGGTCATTATAATGAGAGGTGAACAGATCCTGAACGGCTTGCCTGTTCGTGTGGCCAAAACCCTATCCTCCAATTTAACATAACCGAATTGAATTATTTAACAAGTTTGTTATTGTATTAATGTGAAGTGACATTCCAACTTTAACATTTTTGTAGAACATGGTACCTTAAGCTCCGGTGTCTGTCAAGTTCGATTCCCAAATGACGCTAATAAAGGAAATGAAATGTGATTACTTTAAAAAAACAAGAAGTATGTCCAAAAAACACATGTGGATGGCAAGGGATTACTATAGTAATAATTATACACTTACATAATATTTTTGAAATATTTACATTTATCTTGAAATATCGATGTTCCATTAGAGGAGTCTCATATTTTAATACATTTAGAGACAAAAGTGCTTCAAAGATCTATGACGTTTCTTGATTTTACAACATTTTTCAAGTGTAAAACTATGGTTGAAATACATTTTTCAGAATTGCCCAAATAAAATTTTCTCAAACACTACTCAAAATGTATACACCAAAATTTCCATATGAAAAGAGATTTTTTTATTCTTTGACATTCATAGTGTCTCTTATCAATATTTAACTATTCAGGGATGTTATTTATTCTCAATATGAAATGAAAAGTTTTTAAAGCTATAGAAACTTTCGGACATTGTTGTTATGGCAATGAATGATGTTGAATGTCATTAAGATATTTTGATTCGTTGTTAAGTATATTGTTGTCCATGTATGCAATAAAAATATTAATTTTACTTATAAAGTGGCATTTTAAGATGTTGAGAAGTTTATTATTTACAATAGTGATTATTTTAGCATTTATCACAAACCAGCATTGAGGTATGAAGTACACTCCTAACGTAAATATTAAGGAGTGAGATATATCCAAAAAATTACATATGAATAATATTTGAAGAATTTAAAGTCCAATTAAAAATAATGATTACGTCAGGTGATTTAATGTATTTTGCTTTAAGTTTAAAATGAAAATTTTTAGTGATCTTGGAGAAAAACTTATTTATGAATTTATTGAAATTGTCACAATTTTACATATAACTTGGCAAACTATACAAGCATTTCCAAAAATTGATGATTGGATGTCTGAACATTCTGCTTATAGAGCAGTTCTCTGTGTCTCTCTTAATAAACAGTGTACTATGGCTCTTAAGAGTGGTTGTAAGATTCTAGCTTGTAGGTTCTGTGTACAGCAATAACATTAAATAATATTGTACCATTAGAAATGTTACCCATAAAATTATTCTTTTAGTTAAAAAATATTAATTTAAAAATACAGTTTTGAATTGTGTTTCAAATTACTGTTTAAAATACATAATTGTTTTCCTTTTTCAGGAGGCATTAGTGAGTCTGAATTACTGAGAACTTTCAACTGTGGTTTGGGTGTAATTCTGATTGTTAGTGCAGAGCATCAAAGTGAGGTGCTAGCCAATATTACAGAAGATTCGGTATCTGTAGTTGGTTGTGTGGAGCAATGTGGATCTGAAAGAGGTAAAATATTGCTTTTTCAAAGTATCCACAGCAGTTTTTTTGAATATGTACAGTTTTACTTCTGTATTTATCTTTTTCTGTTTTATTTTATAATGATGTAATTAAAGTATATGTTGATGAAGTAATTTTCTCATACCTTAGTGGTTTCAGCCGAGATCTGGAAATTTATAATAAAAGTGAATGTGTAGAGGTACTCATTTATGCATAGAGTGTTTAAGTGTTGGGAAGTGATATGGTAAATAAATGTAGCACCTTTAATGTAGTTCTTTTCACCTATCAACACTAACAGCTAAGATACTTCATATATGATGTTTTTTATATTCTGATATTTAAATGTGTTCACCCTTCCTTCACCGTGTTATCTATATGCTGTTGCAGTAAAGCACCAATGATAATGGGGAAAGATTCCTTGCCGGTTGTAATATTAAATAAAACATATTAATATTGTGATTGTGATTACCTGTACATATTTATCTAATATATTAATCTTATTAATTGTGTAATGGTATGAAGAAACTTAATAATCTGAGTTGAAGCTTGCTTTTATTAAAATATGATCATAAATAAAGATGAAGATTTTCTAATGGAATATCTTTTGTGTTCATAGATACATCTCTTGTTGTTGTGGACAACTTTGTGTCAGTGATGGAAGCTGCAATGAAGCCATACGTGCCCTCCCTTGTAAAATATCACGTTCCAGATCGCAAGAGAGTTGGTGTTCTTATATCAGGAAGTGGCACAAATCTTCAGGTATTAGGAGCATTATGTATCCTATGTTTTACTCTCCATTTTAAGTTGCCAACCTTTGTTTAGATGCAGTTAACTTTGCCTACTGTTTTTTCTTCTTTTTTTTTTTTTCTTTCCCCAATGTCTTTACCGCTCAGCTAATAATTCAGGGGTTGAAGGAAATAATATGAGTTTCCGACATAAACAAAATATTTATTTATTCAAAAGGCATTGAGCCACTATTTACTTTTAGAACAGCTGCAATTTCTCATGTGTCTCTAAGATGGAGGACTACATTTGGAACTATTTATGTGAAGCAACCATTCCCTCTACCAAATGCTCTTGTAAATCATTGTAGGAAGTAAATGGATTTGCAAAGATCTTCGTATCATTTGCAAAGCAGTTTCAGTTTGATCTTATATGCGAGTCAAGATCACTGGTGTAAAAGATGAACAATCTTGGGCCCAACACTGATCCCTATGAAACTCCACTGGTAACTGGTTTTGCAGCCGACAGCATGCTTCCAATTCTACCATGGAAGGATCTCCCTGTCAAGTATTCTCTTAACCATACCAGTAGCTTACCTCTAATACCCAGTTTTGATAGCTTCCATTACAGGTGTTCATATGGGACCTTATCTAAGGCTTTGGCATAATCAAGGTAAATTACATCTACAGGGTTGCCCACATTCAAGAACTTCGTTCAGAGGTCAAGAGAACTCAGCAAGTTAGTCGTAGTGGATCTATGATTCATAAACCCATATTGTTGGCAGGATTTTGTGACCTTTCTTACTGTGTAGTCTCGGATCCTGTTCTTGATGACTTGCTCCATGACTTTTCCCATTGTACTAGTCAGACTAATCGGCCTATAGTTTTTGGGAAGTCGTTTATCACTTTTTGAAGACTGGAGTCGCCATTGCACTCTTCCATGTCAAAAGGATCCTTCCTTGATCCATGGACTATCGGAACAGCCGTGTGTGTGTGTGAGTGAGTTCCAGTGCACGGTTTTTCATGAAGATTGTCAGTAAGCCATCTGGTCTGGTGGCTGAGTTTGCATTTAAAGCACTGAGAGTCTGGGAGATTTCTATATGGTCGAAATTGATGTACTCTAGTGAATCTCCAGTGTGATCTTTCATGCCATCTCCAGGATCCAGCTCCAGTTTCGTAATAGAAACATTCTGGATTTTCTTGCAAAAGTTTCTGTGATTTTCTCTGCTTCATTTATACTCTCTTTGTCATCCTCAAGGATGACCTACGGAATGTCCCACTTTGGGGTTAGCTCCCCATGATTGTAAAAGTAAAATAATTTACTCCTTTTTTCTTCAATCATTTTCTTGCGAGTCCTCCGTTCTCTTGGGTAGCTGCACCAATAATTGTTAACAAACTTGTAATTTTTGTAATATTCTTGTTTATTTTTAACAAATTGTGTTCGATTGGTTAAGTAATCTGTAAACCAAAGTAGGAGCGGACCAGAAAAGCCAAAAGCTTTCAATGTTTGTGCCAGTAATTTGTGATTGACCGAATCGAAGGCCTTACTGAGATCTGTTTTCTAAGGTGTTAAGAATGTACTGGGTATAGTACTCCGGATTTGACTATGTATTTCTTCTACTCATAGAACCAAATTGTCTAATAGTGAGATGGGGAAATGTTTTACACCTGATTTTATCGATTGATGTAATGATTGATTGATTAGTGTTTCCTGGCATGTTAACTGCTGAGGTTATTAGTCCTGTAAGTTTAGGGCGTGTTTTATTGCGGGCAGTGGTGATCTTCATGCTGGATGTTGAGATCTGACCTATAAGTTATCTTGGAGGGTTTTTCCCAACCAAATATCTCCCACCCACAGGGCACTGCTCCAGCTGGAAGAAGCTCTTAAGTTCTCGACTGGTCTGCCAACATGTGTGATAATATTGTGTAAGTGTGTGAAATAAGAGTGAGGATAGGATAATTAAAAGGAAGGGAAGATCATCCACAGTCCATGGCCATGTTCTGCTCCAGTATTTGTTTGGTGTTGATCGGGAAAACCATGGAAAACTACTGATTAGAGCAGCCAGCGTCTAGATTTCTAAATTTGACCTAGCTATCTAGCTAGTGTTGAATATTCTGCCTGGACTGTCAGGTTTCAAATCTTAGTACCATGTGAGAGGTACTGCTGTAACATTAGTTGGTCCTCTGAGTCACGTATGCCATTTTTTTGGCAAAGATCGTATTTCAATTCTTCTTGTAGATTGTTGAGAGAAGACTTTCAGTAAGCACAATACTTACAAGAGGCATGATTATTAAGAAGTTTTACATTTTTTTAATACAGTTACCCAGTAATCTGTGACCACTTTTAAAGTATTGAAGTGGTATGTTTTATAAGAAGTTCTTAAATGCAACACTGACATTTTATTTTATTTATTTCAATTTTGTGGGTTTCTCATATTATGGGATTTTAAATAATTTGAATTATTTTCAATATCATTTTGCTCGTTTATCGATTTATGATAACTTTTCTTACTTTTTTTTTAAACCTGTTGATTCGTAAGAAAGATTTTCACAAAATCGTTTGTCTTAATGCTCTTTTACTTATACCTTTCATGTTTTCATAGGCTTTAATTGATGCTACAAACGATTTAAATCAAGGTATTGGAGCTGAAATTGTTTTAGTAATTTCCAACAAAGCTGGTGTTGCTGGCCTTACAAGAGCTGAAAATGCAAGAATTCCGACTAAGGTAAGTTGTTTCAATATTGGTAAAATGAATTTCATAGAATAGATGTGTTATGATAAGCATGCATAAATAATTCCACTAGCTGATAGCTTCAGTTGAGTGTTTTAAATGGATGTACAGTCCTTAAATACAAAAGTATTGTGAATAAAATATTAAAGGTAATGCATAAACTATGTACAATCAGTATGCAATATATTCTAAATTCTCCATTTCACATATGAAGTAAAAAAAATATATTCTAAATTGTATATTTTATATTAAATTATATTATACATGAATAATTCCTCTTCACTAACAGTAATTCGTACCACTCATTCTAACGAACCTGATTTTCTAAAATTTGGAATTGGAAATGTGATAATTTAAATTTGAGAGAAAGTTTAAACAAACATATCTCCAAACTAGTTTCATAAATTACACTTTCTTGATAGTGTTTTTTTTTTTGTAATTATGCCAAATTTAAATTTTTGATCACAAAAGAAAAATGCAAGGAAAATAAAGTCCATGATTTATTATTCAATTGTGTTGCAATACAACTATGCTCATGTTCAATAAATGGGACAAGTAAATTTATTCTTGCAGCAGCAATTCTGAAAACCTTGTGCTATTATAATTAATAATCACATTTGCAGACCACATACAATAGAACAATGATGTCAGAATAACAATAAATTAGGAATATCAATGTTATAGTTGTGTGAAACCCTGAAAAGATTTTTGTTACTTATCCTAGGATTTGTTTGTCTTTATGAACAATTTTGAATGTCCATGAATGTGTTGTAGAATGTGAAAAAGTAATTAATTTTCATTTTGTGAGATTTAATACAAGCTGCTTATCCAATTACTACTTTGACTAAACACTCAAGAGCTGCTGGAAGGCATTAGTATTCACTGAGTTTTACAATCATACAATTTTTTAATGTTTTTGAAACATAACAAATTTACAAATGTGAAAGGAAATGGAAAAAGATTGCATTTGCATCCAAAATTTCAATTACTAACAGGAATGAAATGTTCACAGGTTATCAAACATGGTGATTTCCCCTCACGATTAGAATTTGACATGGCTCTCCACGCAGCTTTAACAAATGCAAACATAGATATTGTATGCTTGGCTGGCTTTATGCGTGTGCTAACTGCAGAATTTGTTAAGTTGTGGAAAGGACGACTCATCAATATACATCCCTCTCTACTGCCATCATTCAAAGGAACACATGCCCATCGTCAAGTTCTAGAGGCTGGAGTACGTGTAACCGGCTGTACAGCACACTTTGTGGAGGTACTGTTAAATGTATTGTTTTAAATCTGTTTCTAGCACCTACTAATAATGAGCAAAAAATAATGTGAAATGCTAGGAGTAATGTTTGGAGCTTCAAACATTTTTATAGTTTTTGTTCTTATTTTATTTAAATGACATATAATTTGAAATTCAGTAATCAAATTTTCACATGGTGGACTCGTCGAGACTGAAAAATTATCTTTGGTAAAGAGCATTCACTGTCTGTAACTGTCAAACACCATTGCAACACTGAGGGCTCTTTTAGTGTACAAGAAACATAATAGTATTTTGTTCGCTCTTTGGTGACTTGTTTTTCTTGTTTCTAAGTTTCAAAGGTGATGTTTCCATTTATTTACGTTCATGCCTATTTACAGATTGATAATCGTAGTATAGAGTAAGTTATGTAATGATGGGGCAAAACACGATATTTCGACAGAAAAGCTTGTTAAGTGGGGCTCTGATACAGAGAAAGTGGGTAATGCGTGTTCTAGTGTATAGTCAATAACTCCCTCTGCACATTATGTAGTCACATTTCAGAAATAGTGTCTTTGATACCGAAAAAGTATATTTTTTCATTTTCAAATGTTCATCTATCCTTCGTCTGTGAAGAATACTAGTGCCTAAACTGAGAATACAATTGTTTCCAAACTGAATACTCCCTGGTTGATCTGGGCATACTTGAAACCCTGTGATTTTGAATAACATTAATTAATTTTAGGGGACCCTTTAAATCAAGCTCCTGGAACATTTTTGAAAATTTCTCAAAAAAGGCTCAAGTTTTTTCTTTAAATTGTGTGTAAGAAGAGAGCAAAATACTTATATAGTAATGGTATAAGTCAGATATTCTGTGTTGACTAAAATTTCAAAAATTGTGAAAGAGAACTTTTTTAGTGCCCTCCTACAACTACAAAATTTAATTGAGATTTTTTCCTTCAATTGAAATTTGTTCTCCATAATTAGTTGTTTCATTAAGATCTTGTACATTTCTTTTTTTGCCTTGAAAATTTTAGAAGTTTTCGCGCAATATTGAGTGAAATGTCCAATATTAAAAAAATATCAAAAACAAATTTCTCACACCCAGCTCCAAATTTTTTTCTTTAAACATTTGGTAGCGATAGTGCTAAATGTAAGTTAATAAGATGACATAAATGCGATTTGACTTTATTTTGTTGTTTTGTTTTTTTCAAATGGACAAGTATTTTTTTGACATTTCTCTCTCTCGTCAATAGCAAAACGAAGAGTGCGGGCCATTGCAAACAAGTTGTGTTCGTACCTTAAATAATAAAAATATCCTTGAACACATTCATATTCATTCGTCTATGATTACTACATGTATAATCGCAATAGCTAACGGTCGTAGTTCTTAAAATCACAAAACCTTCAGCCTAAAAATAGGTGCTCTTTTTCCAGGGTCCGCCCGCATTACCGGCCCGAACGTTACACCGCCGTCTTTTACTTCGTTAATATTTACGTGAACGGCAATTTGTATATATTGTTGAATTAATTGTTAAAATGAGTGCTTGGAATGATTTCTTATAAAGTTTTTCGAAAATACAATAGTTTTCTTTGAAAATGAGCTCAAAATTCCGCATTTTCAGAAACGCTCAAACGCCATTTTTTAAAAAACGCTGAACTTTTTTCAAACTTTTTTTTACAGATAGTGCTAAAAGCACTGTATAAAATAAAATAAAGCCATTTTGCTGTAACCTCTTGTTTTTTCAAAAATTGTATTTTTTAAATATTTTTTTTCATAAAATTTATAAAAATTAATATATATTTTTCATAAAAATGTGTTTTTTATGTCTCTCTCACCGTTAATATGGATATTTCCCGAGATTTGTATAAATTATTGCGTTTGTGAATGAAATTCAAATAACATACAGTGAAGTTTATTGAAAACTCAACATTTATGTGAAAAGAACTTCAAATTTTCCATTACACGAACATTTAAACGACATTTTCTTAAAAAGAGCTTCACATTTTTCAACAAAAATTTCCATATAGGATAAGGTCTTACTATGCCTTAAGGTCATGTTTCAGTTCTACCATTAGGGAACTGAAAAATGAAAAAAATGTACTTCAGGGGTGATAGATGGCAGCTGAAAAGCTAGCCTAAAATATAGAATTTGAAAACCAACTAGTACGAGAAAGTCTGAACTATTCTCTTGTACAGTAGTTGTGGTTGAAATTTTCAAAGTTAAAAATTTTTTCGGCGTCTTCCTGCAACTACGATAATGAAGAGATTTTTTCTTTAATGATATGTGATCATCGAAAACCACTTCATAAAAAGTCATGTTTAATTTTTCGAAAAGGAGTAGTCTTTGCGTATTTTGTGTTAAATTTAATCTTCTAAAAAGTCAGTTCTTTAAAGATCATGTAATTTTATGAGAATTGCTGGGAAGTGTTCGGGAATGTTATAGCGTCATGAAACATTTTAATATTCGAATTTGTGTTGATATATGTTAGCTTACTAAGAATTCGTTTTCACGCCTAATTCATTTATGATACCACGATCACTAACACATTTTTTTTAACCAAATACGAGAATTAACATTTTCTGTCGATCTGTGTAACAAAGAACCAATGAATATATAGAAACGGAAATGAGAAGAAAATAATGGTGCTCAATGTTTTATTATTGATTAAAAAACATAATCGTTAAGGCCGGTATACTCCGTACAGTTTTCGTGCAGATTGAAAGTACCAAAAACGTGCAGCCCAGATTGCACTTTCGACTTTTGAGCATGTTCGTAATTTCTCATGCAGAAAGCTTACAGTTAGAGTCCCTGGATATATCCAGGGACTCTACTTACAGTTTAAGTCAAACGCTTGTAGCGGCAGAATTGTTCACTAACGGATTTGTTTACCCAACCGGGCGGTAATCAGCCATTTCGATTTAGTGGTAAGATGTGTCAAGGTGCGATTGTGGGAAGTGATATCGTGATAAACGACCTCTTTCCCGATTCCCGTCTTCCTATTTTTCTTCTCTTTGTTCCTCATGTTTAATTAATACTTAATAAAGTTCGCAGCCAGAACGCCAGAATCTGCACGAAAACTCTTATCGCCTTTAGATTTCGAAAAAATATCAACATATCAACGGAACAATAAGACAATGAAGTTTTATTAGCAAGTAACGGCAAGGCTAATCAATGATTTTCATCATTGTGTACTTACAAAATTGCAAACTTCTGCATTATAATAGGTATAATTGAAAATTGGTTGTGAAGTGTGCATTTATATAGTCGCATATCAAGACTCTCGGGTCATCAAGTCGGGAAAACATTTCTAAACTAGTGATTCTACAATAAGTTTCTCGCGTCAGTAATCGATACGTAAAACATTGTAATATCGCAATTTTTTCTCCAATTTAGACATCTCATCCATCATTTCTAAAACTTTAGCAATCGTAGCGCATTAATTGCGAAAAAATAATTCATTTATAGGTGATACATAGCGCGTTCCATAAATAATGCGACCAAATTCATAAAAAATCATTTACTGAACGTATTCTTAGTAAACAAAATCGAAATAGTACCCTCCTGCGTTGATACGCTTATAAAGGCGCTGTTACCAGGACGGCCTTTGAGCCGATTCAACCAACCCTGATGTTTTCAATTGTGTCCCAATGTTTCCCTTTCACGCCTCCTTTTAAGCAAAGAAAAAACCAAAGCCTGCAGGAGAGACTGCAGGGAAGCTGGGGAGTGTTGGAGTATGGGTCTTGGCCAGGAAATTGTTGAAAAAAAAGCTGTGGCTTGGAGCGTTGTGAAGTTAATGCGGCCATGATGTGACTTCGCCTGCGCGCGAACTTCTTTTCAGTCTTTTGTGCACTTCAAATTGAAAACTGCATTTACAGTGGTCACGTTAAATACGAATTCATGGTGAACAATAGTTCTGACATCAAAGAAGTCGTCTTGGGGCATTGAATGATGCATCTCTCATGTTGGTTGAAAACTCTGACAATGGAAAAAATAAAATGTTTTTGGGCGTCTTCCTACATCTACAACTCTGAAGTTACATTTTTTCTTAATGAAATGTGTTCATCGAAAACAGAGTTTCAAATAAGCTGATGTTGAATTATTCGAAAATAAGTATTTTTGGAGTAATTGGGCGTCAAAAATAGTCCCCCGCTGAAAATCCTGCGCTTTTTAATCGTAATTTTAGAGGAGTTTTGGGGCAGTTGGATACTACATATTAGAATGTGTATATTATTTCACATTTCTTTGTTCGTTTCTTATATTGGAGCTTTTGTATACTTTGCAATTTAATCTTTTAGAATTTATTTAAAACCTATTAGAAATAAATATGAAATAAAAATGGCTAGCCTTTAGTCGCCCACTCCCAATTTACGCAGTTGGATGCTACGTAAGTTAGAATTTATATATTATTCCATATTTCATTTTAAATTGCGTTCTTTAATTGTGTTAAATGTGAAAACGCATAGATAAGCGCTCATTGTTGGTTGCAGGGGCGGATCCAGAGACATTTGGGGAGGAGAAATTAAAAATATTTGGTCGAATGTGTCGTAACAGACACTTAGCTCATGCTGCGACACGATTTTATTCTTTGTAAAGATAATCCGAAAATATTTCTGCTTGAAAGTTTCATGGCAAGTTAAAATTAATAGTTACAGAAAAAAATTAGGGGGTGGGGGGATTTCTCTCATTTCCTTCTCCGCGGATCCGCGCCTATTGGTTGTTACCCATTGTTGTAACGCCGCAGAGATAACAAAAGGCGATATTGCCGGTTGCTTTTCGTTCGCGGTAATACACACGAGTACTTTTATACATTTGTAGAATATCATAGTGTCGTAGTGTTTAATAATTACTATTATATATTGTTCGATCTATTTGTTTGCCAACGCTATCAGTATCGTGTTATTTATTCATTTTAATTACTTCAATTAAGGTATAGTATAAACAGTGTTACTAAGGTGACCAATTTTTTTGGACGAACAATTTTGAGAAAAGAAGAATAAAAAAAAAAAACAAGAAATTTTATTAATTGAAACAAAAATACACTAATATGCTTGGCCTACGTAGTTTTCATTATGCAATTAAACGATTTTTTCATTGAATTATTTTTTTGTTAATACAAAATTGTTTGTGTATATCATTTTCTAAAAACACATTTCGGAGCAAGAAATATTATTCATATTGGATTTTACGTTAAGTGCTGCTGCTAGAGCATTCAATTGTGATTTCTTTCAACTTTATTAACACATTACTTTTAACATATAGAAAAGGACATGTAGGAGGATGCTTTTCGAGGAAGGACAGAATGTACAAACGGAGGACTGTCCTCCCTAAAGGAGAACGATTGGTCACTTTAGTGTTACATAGCCATCACTAACGGCGAGAAAACACGTGCCGTTTTAGCACTAGTTTTTAAGGTGTATTTGCGTTAAATGTGTTGGACTCGGGATGTTTTATGTTCACGCGAGGATCGGAGGCCCGAGCCTCGTCCTCATCTCGGAATTGCGTAGCGAAGCGTCACATTCCACTAGAAAGTGCGTCGACCGCGCACACTGTCCGCGACAAATACTCTCTGATCCACGCTGCCAGCGACTATACAAATCTACATTGGCCCACTTGTTTGGTTTATCCCCACGGCAATAGCCGAGAACAGATCGCGAGTGTAGCGAAGCGTTATATTTTTGACTTGGCTGCTTATTGTTCTTTCAATACATGGAAAGGCAAATATAAAAGGAAAATCCTACCCAATTAGGCTTAATATGCGAACGTAATTCCACCGCAGATATTTTTTAAAGAGAATTTAGGAAAAATACCCCCCTGATGAAATTGGGTAAATATGGTACAAGTTTGGAATGCTTTTGTATTGAGGTCTGGTATGCAATAAATCTGCATATCAATCTACAAAGGAAAATTACAAAGAAAACAACTTTCAAATGAGCAAATCACTTCTTACAAAGAAGCGTTGTACTTCTAGTGTATTACCTGTGTGAAAGAATAAATCATTTTATTATATTTTACACATACCCTAGAGCTGTGGTTGGTGGGTATTGCTTGCCAGGATATGTTTCTCTAATAGTTAGGTACTTAAGAAGAGTTAACATTATTTCGTTCTAAAATTTTGAACTCGTGCTTTCTGTGTGTGTAATTATTTTATAATTATTTTTCTTTTTTACATTGATTTATGCTTAAATTGTATAGTGCCTGGCAACAACATTGTACATTGTATCTATTTTTGTACAGGCGGATATAGATGCAGGAGCTATCCTTGCTCAAGAAACAGTACCAGTTGAAATTGGTGACACAGAGGAAATATTGCAAGAACGTGTTAAAGTGGCAGAGCATCGTGTGTTCCCTCAGGCTCTGAAGCTGGTGGCTACTGGTACAGTGCAGTTAAATCAAGAAGGAAAACTTGTGTGGCAAAAATGATTGTGAACATATTTTCAGAATTTAAGTATCCAAACTTAATTGACATTTTTTTTTGTTCATTACATTTCCTAATTAGAAAATTTCTGTAATTCTGCATTTCTGACAAACATGCATTGTGATGCAAAACATGAAGACTGAAATGAAAAGAAAACCATCCAAGTTGTTTTATTAACAAACATACAAGTGTTGTACTGAGTGGTATGTATAACAATTTATTTACAACTATTTACTACTAAAAATATTCATTTTTGCTTGTTAATTTTTTCTAAATAAAAACATTTCAAAAAAGCCAACTAAAGTATCATTTTTTGTATTTTCATTCTTTTCTGCTGGTTCAGTGGCAACAGGAACATCAAGTTTAGTCTTCCCGCTTTTTAAAATGTTAGCAGCTTCTTGCTCTAACTGAAAGAAGATCATTTGCTTATTTAACAAAGGAACTTGCAGATTGAAGCTGTTTATCTTCCTATTTAACTGTACAACTCTCTCATGGATATTTTTTAATTCTTTTTCCCAAATGGATTTCTCTTTTGATGTTAATGGTTCAGGACCAAGCAATGTCCTTTTCTGAGCTAGAAGATCACGAAGATTGTTAATTTCTTGAGTAACATCCTTTTGCAAAGTGATCCACTCTGGCACAAATCCATTATCAATGAGCACCTGGTAATACAATAAGAAAAATGTATGGTTGAAAAAGAGAATGTGGTACAACTTTAGAAAGCTTTTAAATCCGTAGTTCATATCACGAAGGGGTAGAGAGGGTTAGTATGTTTGGGAGAAATCTTTTGATGTAATCTTGTATCTGCTGTGTAGGGTGGTTCATCATAACATTGTGGAAATTTTTTATCAGGTGTTTATTTTGTGAAATGCGTCAAAACATTAATAGAAGTAGTAATTTATTGTTTTTCAATTATACAATATCTTACATGTCTACCACAAAATAATTACACCTTACATCTACATATCCTTTTACAACTACCTATAATAAAAATCCACTTATATACAATAATTTGTACGTTATATTCTTTCTACTCTTACCTTCTCTCCTAATTTACCAAATTCTCATTATCTACTTTCCTTCTTAATTATGAAAAAAATGTCGTCTCTTCTCTATTTTCTCCCTATCTTAATACCTCCCTTTTCATCTTTGCCTGACAGTGTTTAGATCTCATTTTTCCCTGTCCTGTTGTAAATAATCTAACATCTACCTCATACTTGTCCCTTTCTTATCCAGAATTTTTTGACCTTATTCACATTACAGCTCTCAAAATGCTTTCCTTCCTTTTCCACAATTGTTTAATACACAACTCAAATTTCTATCTTCCCCTAACATACCCTATATCTTCTCTCCTCTTTGAGTCAATGTATGTGTCCCAACATCTCGTTTCCACATCTTATTAAAACTTTTCTTTTTTAATTTGCTTCCTTTCTTAAATAATCTGGGATTCCTGGCTCTCCTAAAAACTTTAGACTTGATTGAATAGGAACTGAAGGTTTTTCTCATATACTTCCTGGTTCATAACACCACATTCATTGTTTAGTATTGCAACTGCTGCTCCTGCATATCCTCTGACCAAGTAACACAATTCCTCTCTTTCTCTATCTGTCAACTTAATCTCCCCTCCCTTCATAACTTCCTTCACCATTATCTATTTCTTTGTACTTCAGAGATCTCTTTCCTGCTGCCAGTCTTATCATATGTGTCCATCTGTAAGCTCATTCTTACAAAAAGATTTCTAAGGCTTCTTTCTATTTGTCCTCTTCTCATTCCATCTCTCAAAACAATTCTGATCCTACCAAGCTATCACAAATTTGCATGCCCCTTTTTTTTAATTTCCTCTTCACAATTACCCAGACTTGTCTCATTATTGTGAATCCCTTTCTCACATCTTAAAAAACTTATCCTAAATATTTAAATGAAAAATAACATGGATAATATTAAGTCGTGGTCAGTTATGCACATGTCTTGGCTGCCTGGGTGACGCCGCATTGAAGACTTAGTTGCTGACATTTAGACTATCTTGTCTTAAGGACAGCCCAGCCCTGAGGAAGACAACATTAAAACAGTCGAATTGTTGGCACCATTACCTTAAACATAGCATCACATGGACAGCCAAGATCATGAACAGGGATAATATGGTCACATCAATATGAATGTAACTGGATTTAGAAAAAAAGAAAGTGTGTGCTTTTCTGAAACATGAATTATTCATATTTACCACCCAACAGATTTATAAGGTGAGATTTCCTAAAATTATTTTTGCATAAAGAGAGTTAATTACACATTGCACATACTTAAGGATGTGTTATTTTAATTGCAAAGGCCAAAGGCCTGAGGCTCATTCTCAAATTGGAAACATATTATCAAATGTCAACTTCACGTTTAAAAAAAAACTTGCTTAAAAGTGAAAGGAGAAATTGTGTGTGAAACAAGAATGATATACACCATTTCCTACCCCTTTCGACGACACTTCTCTAAGGGTATACTAAACTCTGTACTTTTAACCAAATGTATTTTTATAAATGCTAAACACTTTTGCATAGAGAAAAAATTGATAGTACTACTCCTTTTAACAAAATTTTGTCTAGGATAATATACATTTTTAATTTACGGAATTACTAACAAATTCCCAGTGATTCCCTTCTATGAGAGAAGTTAAAAAAGAAAATACACACAAAGAATGTAATTTAACATACCTCATTCATTTTGTGGGTTACAAAATCTACATAAGGGTTTATATTTTGCCTCTTTAATGGCTTTCCTGATCCAGATAAATTATTGAAGTCCCCTCTGGCCATTGACTCTTGGATAAGATCTTCAACAAGTCTTTCCATTTCTGATCTATAACAATCAGTACTTATAATTCTATACATCTAACTTACAAATTGTTATCAAGATTTTCTTGGTAGCTACCTACCTTGTCTTTATTTTTTTTGCTTCTTTTTTGTCCTTCAAAATTAACATTTGTTCATCACCAGCTGGTATTTTTGACATTCTATGATTGTATACATTTTGTGCAGCTGTCCAAGCTCTTTTTCTTTGGTATTGTTTCTCTCGCTGTTGTGGAGTACCTATACCATAACCTTCGTAACTGAGATATTGTCGATGTTGAGGTGCAGTGTGCTGCACAAAAAAAGGAGTTAACTCAAGCCCAAATATAGAACAATAATTTGATTTTCAAAGTTGACAATGTTAACTTGATTGCAGTAAATGTTTTAATTCTGGAACGTGTCACTACACAACATAAGTCATTATATAAATTAAACATTACTTTAATGTCATAATCCTTAGTATTGTTTTTCTCTTTATAATAAAGACCATATTCTCCAATTCCTTCCTCAACATTCCACCTATCAGCAGCAAATTTCTCTTGTAATTTGCGATAGGCAGTTTCTATCTGAAAGTGAAATTTGAAAAATTAAAATATCTGCACTTGAATAAATAACTGCCTGGATCTACAGGTGGTTGGTGTTTCAAACATACTACCTCATGGAATTTGTCCTTGCTTGCTTGGGAAGATCCGCTATCAGGATGATACTTCTTAACTAGATCTAAAAATGCTTTCCGAACAGTTTCTTGATCACTTGATGATGATACTCCAAGAATAGCATAGTACTTCTAAATATAACATAAAAAGGAGTTATAACTCTTTCACATGCATAATATTCAATTCACATTTTATTCTTACACACAAACCAATAAAATTTATAAAGAAAAGATATGAGAATATTTGATTTTAATTACCAAGTACTCTTTCGAATTAGTACTATTGGCGAATGCTCTTCTGGCATCTTTATGATAAATCAAAATAACAGTTGGAAAATAGAATACGACTTTCTTCATAATAGCTGATGGCAGATTTCTTGTTAATGGGGAGAAGGATTTGAGAACAAACATTACTTTTCTTGTTGCTGGAAAAAAAAAAAAAAGAAAAAAAAAATAATACTACTACACTTTAAGTCACACCCAAAGCCCTCTGAGGGAGTCATGTTTATAGTCATACCCAATAGAGGTCCCACAGAGCGCTCTTGGCCAAACTCCTTATAAACACATTAAATTTAGCCTCACTTTTGGCAAGTTGCAACATTCGTCTCCAATTTATTAGATCTTACAACTGGATGTCGCGCAATAACTAAAGTAAGTTAGGTCTTTGGTTGAATAGTCTATGGTCTTGTTATATTTTAGGGCATTGCTTGATCGCGTGAAAAAAGTTGCGACCATGCGACATTCAATAACTTTTTAATAGTATAATACTCTCTGGTGACACCTATAGCGACATGACACAAGATGTCACAAGTGTCATCATGAAAACGAGCCTTGACAAGTGTTTAACGTGCTTAAAAATGAAGTTGCCGAAGTTTACCTCCACGGGTCGCCTCTTACAAGTTATCTGTTTTATACGTCAATTCGTTTCAACAGCAAATACAAGTAGAGAGTATGAATACAAGTTGGTAGCTCTGCAACTTTTCTTCCTTCAATCTTTCAACCCCTAAAAGTCAACGCGCTGGCGACTAACAGATGACGTGACATGTAGTGGGGGAAAAATGACATTAATTTAATCGATGGATATGTTGTTTGAAGGCCTGAAGTCCATAAACAAATTAATAAAAAATAAGGAATGTATTTGAGGTTTGGAAAGAATCCATTTTTACTTCACAATTTGCAATGAAGAGTAGTATTGCGATTTTTGCTATTACATTTTCAATCAACCCGAAGCTGCTAAGAAGCTTATTGCTTACAATACGTACAATACTCTCTGTTGCTGAGCAGGTTCCTTTGCGACAGCTTTTTGCACTTTTTATATTACTCCAGAGATATACCAATATACTCTGTTGTACATCGCAGCAGTGAGCAGTATATTCTGCTGATATTCTGTTCCATGGCAGCATGCTTTGATTGAAGGAGGGATTGTGTTGCAGAGCGTTGCCAAGTTGCGTTGCCAAGTCCGTTGCCAATTCGTCTAGTTAGCAAAAACAAGAAATCAGAGAGTATTAAAAGCACGGAACAGCAACAGTAGCCGACACAAGAACCGGAACGGAACACTGAACCAACAACAGAACCAGAACGCAACAGAACAACAAACCAGCAGCAGACAGCAGCTGGTTCACGGTGGGGCGCAATTAACATGGCTGAGAAGAGAAAAGGGAAGAAGCGGAAGGAGGTATATAATTAATATTAAGAGAATCGTACATATAATAAGATTAATAGAAGTACATTGTGGAAATATTGTTTTGTGTGTGTGTGTCTTAGAAGTTAGGTTATCTGACGCAGACCTTTCTTGAAGATCTGATGACATTTCAATTTTCATCGCATAGTATGAATTATAATTATTTTAGATGACCCCACATAACGTTTTGTTGACATTTCAACTTCAATTTTTTCCTAAACAATTTTGTTTCTGCAGTACTGTGGTATTGAATCGTGCGTGTACATACATTCCGTTATAAGTAACGGGATTTAATAATTTGGAAGTTGTTTACCCTGCAACTCATAAAAATGTATGATTCTCTCAAATACCTCCCAAATCGACAGGATTTCTTTTATCGTGATTGGCTCCTTTAAATTTTATAATTTCGCTATTGTATTGTACTTGGACTTGTTTGCGAATTTTCAGGAATTGGTACTGGATGAACCCGAAAAACCATCAAAAGAGGAATATGCAGTGGCCAAATGGTTGAAAAAGAATGTGCCCACAAAGAAAACAAAGTTCCTTAATCATAATGTTGAATATTTCACAGGTAAAGAAATTTTAAGAAATTGTTTTTTCAACTTTGTTCTTAAAAGTTTTTCCAGTTTGTAAGTTGTGATTTATTTCAGCTGTCAAAGCTGTGAACGCTTTAATGACATCTCACTGGGCTGAAGCAAAAAATGGAGAAGAGCCTCTGTTTGCCTCGCGTGTTGCTGTGGTAGAATTTCTGGATAAGTATGTAAATAACTATTAGCTGTAATTAAGTAGAGTTATCAAAAGTATTCGTGTTTACATTACAGTTCATTTCTTAATCACAGAAATTTGCTTTATTATTTATAAGTAATTCTGATTGTAACGATTCTTTTTTATTTGATAAGTAGTAAATAGCAGTTAGATTGGCTAGATATATTACTGAATATATTAATATTTGTAATTATGTCAGAGCATTTTTAGGAATGAAATTATTTGAGTGATATTTTAAGTTTCTAATGTTACCCACTTTAAATTTGTATGTCATCTGTGTATAGAAGTCTTAGTTGAGTTGGAGCTAATGTAAAGAAAATGCTGATTATTATATATCTGAAAGGTGTCTTTTGATGTAATAAAATAATTGTCTGTGGTTGATGTGACATAATGTGTTCATATTCACAGACTAAATAAATTTTAAAAAATCACACATTTCAACAAATATGAAAGCAGACACATATTGAATCAAATTGTTCCAAAATTGTTAAAATTTAAATAAATTTGAGCTAAAAATTAAAATTTAACACATTTTGGCCCTTACTCTATTGAGTTTTCTTCAAGAGAGCTTCTTGTAGGCCCACTTTCTGGATAACTGGGAAAAGTCGGGATATTTCATTGCTCAGACAAAATCAGGAAATTTGTAGAAGTATCATTAGAAGTTGGAAAATTTTGAGAGGGTTATTAAGCTAGATATTTTCCTTCAAAACATTAGTGCATCATTACAACAATAAACAAATTTTGCTCAGTTTTTATTTGCTGAGAAAATATTGTTAATTTGTACTTTGGCATGGTGGAATCGGGGAGATGACCAATTCATATCATGGTAACTTTTATATTTTTTCAAGAAAAGTGAAATTACAAATCTTTATCCAGAAAAAAATATTAAAAATGGTCTGAAAAAGTCAGGGAAACTTGTTCCAGGAAGTGAATGGCCAGTGTATTAGTGGAAAACTTTCTTACCAGAGTAATTGTCCAGATTTTAGATCATGTTATAATTTTAGATATAATAATCATAATTTTTGTTCATGTATTGGCCATTTAGGACCATACACTTGCACGTACCGAGGCTCAGTAACATTTATCCCGTGGCAAGTGTATGTGACTACTTTTTGGGGGAACCAGCATTATTCTGAAACCAGTTTTTATCCCCCAGGGTTGCTAGTCCTGGGGGGATGGAAGATGGAATGATGATAATGAAGCGAGAATGGACGACAGAGACATAAACAAACACACACCCATGTCCGAGGTGGAGCTCGATCCTTCCATCCTAGATTGACACTGTACTGCTGCCTTAACAATCTCTGCTATCCGGATCAGCCTAATAATAATATAATTTTATAATTTTTTATTTTTTTGTTATTAAGCGTCAGCGCCAATAGGCAATATCAAATGATTACATTACATTACAGATATATAAAATTAAATATAACTGGACTCCTTTATAAAGTCTATAATAATAGTCCAGTCATAGGACATCTTTACAAATGCCCATTAATACCACAAATTGCACTATGACATTACATTGTTACTAATTTGTACTCTTTTACTAGGTTACATATCTTACAAGATTTTAGCTGCCTATATTCCATAAATTCTTTGATTGAGTAAACAGGTGTTGCAACCAACCAATCATACAGGTCCTTTTTAAATACTTTTTGGAGGCAACTCCTTTAATTTTAGTAGTAGTTTATTGTACCGTTTTAAGCCTAGTGTATCAAAGCAGTTTACTGACTTATAGAGTGAATTGGCACATTTATATGCCTATTATTTTAGGTGTTATAGGAGTGTACATCACTTCTGCATTGTCTGACATGTTACCTCTTACATAGCATTCTATGGTGTACATGGATTTATTACTGTTAATATTATTAGATTTGTAAATAATGGCTGAGTGGGCTAGCTTGTCTGCATTTGATAGAATTCGAATGGCGTTTTTCTGCAGTTTGAGAATGTCATTTACATGGCTGCAGTTTCTCCATAGTAATATCCCGTATGAAATTATGCTTTGAAAACCTCTTCCACCTCTCACATAGATATGATACATGACTTTTCAGATTTCTTAACAAATAAATTATTTTAGAGGTCTTAATTATAGTGTAGCTGGTGTATTTTTTCCACAATAGTTTGTCTACCATTATACCTGATATCTTTACATTATCCCGATGTACATTACTGAGTTGGTGTCTTTGGGGAGTCAAAGTATTTTAAATTATGAACCATTATGTAAGTTAATTAAGAACAGTGTAAAGTAGTTTGCAGATAGAAAAATAAAAGTTTTGTTGAAAATTAAGGCTTTTTCAAATGAGTCAGGAATAATTACTATCTTGCTCATGTTCTTGATTTATGCAGTGTAGTCAGTGTGTTGTGAGAGACGATAATTGTGGCTCACCATCTTGGTCACCTAATTGGCGTTAACCTCCATTTTTCAATTAGCTTTGTGCAGGTCTTGCCCTTCTCTCGTAGGTGACGGTCCATTTTCCATGAACTGACTCTTTGAAGGAAGGAACCCTTTAAATGTTCCACCCAAATATGTTTTTAATTAATTAACATTTTGAAATGTAGCATTCCTCCTCTAGATAGTGAAAACAAGATGCATTTAGTTTTTTTATTGGGGGTGGGGCACTAATTATAGATTAGATAGATTTTTTTTCTCCCTTCATTTCTCTTTCTTCATTGTAAAAGCACTTTTACTTCTGGTCTTAGTATGGAAATTGGAGGAAAACAAATTAATTATGAACAAGTAATGTTAATATTGTATGAAGATTGATCTGCAATTCTTTTAAGTTAATGAGGCTATAATTGCACAGATGAGAGAATTTGTATTGGTTGTGTAAAATAATTATTACATTGGAATCGACAAACTCAATTGCCTAAAACACGCAACGCACACTGTCCATTTTGTTGTTGTAATATGCTTGTAAACTTACAAAATATAAGTTTCAAGCAAACTCAAAATCATAGTCATTTTTACAATAATATTTTAGTAAAGTAAAGGGTTTAAAAAATACAGTACATAGAAAGTGTACCAAAAAATTAAATATTAAAATGTAACAGAAATCGTATAAATGTATGGTGAAAGTATCAGTAAATAAAATATAAATAATTTACTATATATAATCAAACAACAATACTTGAAATACATTTTCATTTTTATTTAATTAGAAAAAACATCACACATTAAAATTCACTTAAACTATAAAGGCAAATGTTAATTAGATAATTTTTCTGTAGATGTAGGTTGGTAAAATTGTTTTTATTTGTTTTGTTAATATAATTTGGAAGTTATTATACAATATTATGGCTTTTCTAAATGGGTCTTTATTTGCCTAGGATTTAGAATAATGTGCCCTGTTGTAGTTTGGTGGCATTGTAGTTATAAATTTCTTTATTTTGGATAAAGTGAATGTTAGGTTCTTTTTCATTAGAAATATCTTTCTGTAAATGTACAATTCAATTACAACCGTTTTCTTATTTTCTCTGTAGTAGTTGCTTCACGATTGTCTGGGTTGTAATTTGAAACACTATCTAATAACCCTTTTCTGTACAGCCTTTATTCTGTCAATACTTTCTTTACATGTACCTCCCCAAATTTTACTTTTGTATGGTAAGTGTGAATGAATTATTCCACAGTACACTTTTTTAAGGAGCTTAGGTGTCATTTTTTTTTAAAACATCATTAAATATGTGTTGGAACTTACTTTGCCAATATTTCTTCTAGTAGTTGTACATCCTGATAGTTAACTTTGGCATCATAATTATTATTTAAACGTTTGTGATATCTGAAATGGATCATTAGTGTTTTACTGCAAATCAAGTTTCAATTATTATTGCTTATATATTGTGCTACTTGTAGTGCATCCAGTGTATTTTCACAGTTTAGTTCTTTAGGATCTTTATTGCCACTAATTGGTGTAGTACAAAAGAATTGTTTAAAAATACGTAAAATAAAATAGTTCTAATTCGTTCAAGATGACTTGTAAACAAAAAAATTGAATGCAGGTATCCAATTATATGTAATTGGTTGGTAAAAATCTGTTCCATTATTGTTGTTGTTGTTGTTATTATTATTATTATTATTATTATTATTATTATTATTATTTGCTTATTAGCCATGCCATACCTCGCCACATGTCCTCCTCTGAGCCCCAATCGTATACTATCTCAGAAAAAGATAAACCTGTGTCATTATGGGGATCAGTGTTTTGGCTGTGTCCCTTCGTAAGACAAGATTGTTAAACCTTTAATTATGAACTATGAGGTGATAGGATGATAATGAGAAGTGTTCGTGGTCATTTTGAACCATTTGACTGATTCACCTTTATGACTGATGGAAACCACAACTCTTGACTGCAAAGTCAGCACACCAAGCCAGCCCACCACTGAGCCACTTCGCTTGTTTTATTATTTAATACTAGCAAAATACCCAGTGTGGCCTTTTTTGCGAATTCAATCCTCGTGAGAAAGAAAAGGTCTACATGTATCTCTTTGCATCTGTCTCTTTCCAACTTTGTTTCTCTGCCCTCTCTGTTTGACTCACTCTCTCTCTTTGTCTCAGTATCTGCCCGTTTGTCTCTGTCTCTCTCTCTACGTGACATTCTGTCTCTTGGTTTCTGTGTCACTCTTTCTCTGTCTCCCATCGTTTCTCTCTGCGTATGTCTGCCTATCTCCTCTCTCTGTCTCTCTCTCTCTCTCACGTACACCATTTCTCTCCATATCTCTGTTGGGGGGTTGCACTGACAGAATTTTAACCAGTTAGAAAATAGGAATAAACTACAAAATGAAAAGCAAACCAAAATTAACCTAGCATTTATGCTAATAAAATTGTCGTACTTACTAAATTTATGTGAATCAAAACAACTTTATTCTCTATAATATATTATTTTTCATTCAATTCTTTTTAATTAACTCATTTGAATAACTCAAAATTTATTTTGATTATCTGATGTTTTCAGTTTTGTTTTAATTCCCTTCCTTTTCCTTTATCTCTGATAATGTAAGTTCTTCTGTGTGTAGTTATATTTTCTTTAGTGGTTCACTTCGTTTTGTTTATTAACAGGTCACTCCTTAGAATACAAATAATCGTTGTAAACTAAACATGTCACGTGACAAGAATGCATACAATAAAAATACATAAAGCTATTCATGATAACTGGAGGATGGGGTGGATTCACTAATATTTATTATGAACAACTCATTTCCAGTTTGTAAGAAGGGGACTTATTGATTTGTCTTCAATTGGTCCCAAACTGCTATGCCTCTTAAATTTCATTATGTAGCGGTCTTTGATATTTGTAAATCTATATTTTGTTGTATTGTGTAATTGTACTTGTAATCAAAATGTAAAATATCACTCGGTTATTGAATAGTGATTTTAATTGTATGTGTCCTGTTTCAAGAATGCTGAGACACAAATTTTTTCATCGAGCCAAAAAGATTCCAGTGTCTGAACAAGAATTGAAGGCTAAATTGAAAAAAAAGGAAAAAGAAAGGAAAAAAGATGGAGAAAAAATTGAACGTGTGGAGGATGCAGATAGTAGTCATGCTGAAGGAGAGAAACAAATTGTAAGGTGAAATATTGGTATCGTTAAGTTTTTACATTTAAATTTTGTGTACTAAAAAGAAAATGACCTGTTTTTAGGAAGAAAAGGAGAAGAAGAAAAGAAAAATACGTCTAGAAATGCATCTTGATCAGCTGTTTGTTGATGGTTTGGATGCATATGTGTGGATTTATGATCCAATTCCCATGTACTATTGGTTTTTTGGAACATTGCTTGTACTTGGGGCAATTGCCATCTGTTTGTTTCCATTATGGCCTCCATCTGTTAGGTATGTACCTTTGAGAATACTGCTGCTTCGTTGGTATTGATTTTCAGGACTTGTATGAATATAGAGTAGTAAGTAAATATGTAAAGACTTCATAAACCTCTTTTTGATTTGATTTATTTTTGTCAAAGAAATGTAAAAACAAGAATCTGAGCACTTTTCTTGAGCTCCTCAATCCCTACCCTACCCTTTAAATATAAATAGTTAAATAATGAATAAAAATACTAATGAAGCAAGGTTAGCAAAATTTGAAAACTATAAGTTTTCTGTTCCAAGTTAGAGAAAACTTGCTTGCATCGATAAACAAACTACAGATTTTATTTTTACTTTCTCGCACTTAAGAAGGAACTCCTGAAGAAGAGAAAGTTACATAATGCTGCGCCGAAAACCTTATTACAGGGTCCTGGTAACGAAAAAAGTGGAGAAATTCTCTAACATGTGAAAAAATACTCTACCCATAATCCCTGTTTTGTGAGTCCCTGATACTGAAAAATCAATTGACGGCAAAACGTCCGTCCGTTCGCATGTCTTTGTCAATCAATTGACGGCAAAAATCCGTGTGTTCGTCCGTCTTTCCGCCCGCCCGCCCGTCCATAAACAGCAGTAGCAGCTAAATCGTTCAGCCAATTTCCCCATAAATCGATATTCACTGATTGATCTGGCTGATGTCGCGGACCCTTGAATTTGAAACAGATACTTTAATTTCGGGTTATACTTTACACGAAGCTCTTGTAACATTTGCAATATTTAAAAAGAAAATGGTGCCATCAATTTTGATTCAAATTTGTTGTTGGATAGTCTGAAGAACATTGAAGAGAATGTCACAGGTCTCACGTTGGTTGAAATCTTTGATATGGCGAAAATTGAAAAAAAATCGAATTTTTTTCGTAGTCTTCCTACAAATAAAATATTAAAGATGGAGATAAATTCCCTTAATAAAATCTTTTCCTTAAAGGTACATTTTGAAATAAGTTCATCTACAATTTATCGAAAAATGTATTTTTCGCATGATTTTACTTGCAATATATGGAATTTTTAATTTTTTTGTAAACAATGTTTTTTTTTCAAAATTGGCTCCATCGTTTTTGATGAAATTTTGATGGTCTAAAGGATGTTGAAGAAAATGGTGCATGGTTCATGTTGGTTAAAAACCCTGATTTTTCAACAATTGAAAAAATCAAAAAATTTTCGGTGTCTTCCTGCAATTACAATTATGAAGATATATTTTTCTTAATGAAATATGTTCATCAGAAACAGATTTTCATATAAGGTCATGTTGAATATTTCTAAAATGGGTATTTTTGGAGTAATTGTGTGTCATAGTTAGTCACTCGCAAAATCCTGCTGCTCTTGATCGTAATTTTTTAAATGTTTTGAGGCAGGCAAATGCTATATTAGTTAGAATGTATATATTATTTCATATTTCTTTGTTTTTTTTCTTACATTGAACTGTTTGTTGTATGTTTACAAATTAATCTTTGAGACATTTAAAACCAATTTGAAATAAACATGAAATCAAGATTGCTAGCCTTCAGTCACTTGCTCCCAGTTTATGCAATTGGAAGCTATGTAAGTTAGAATTTGTATTTTATTTCATTTTATTATTATTATTATTATTATTATTATATTTATGTTATTTCATGTTAATTTGCGTCCTTTAATAGTGTTAAATGTGAAAACATATAGATGAGCGTTCATTGTTGTTGGTTGTAACGCTGCACAGATAACAGAAGGTGTTAATGCTGACTACTTTTCTTTTGGGGTAATAAAAACTAATACTTTTATATATTTGTAGAATATTACAACATTATATTATTTACTTTATCAATATATTATTTTACTTTCTCGCATACTACTTATTTTTCACACCAAATATTCTATGATTTAGAGTTGAGTGAGTTTTACAAATAGATAATTCTGAGGTATAAATAGTATTACATAACCATTTCTAATAGTGAGAAAGTACGTACTGTTTTAGCACTGCTAGTTTAATATTACTAACAAAATATTAATCAATATACCCAGATCTACTCATACCACAACTTGCAAAAGGAGAGTTCAACAAAACGTGTGCACAAGGAAGCTACATTTATGTCCAGGAGCATAACAAGGGGCCATCTTATCATTTCCTCAATGGATCAGAGAAACGAGATAAAAACCTGAACAAAATGGGTGTCTTTGACCTGGAACCTGAAGTACATTATTTGCTACATGCATAAACATTTTTAAATTTATACAATGCAATTGTAAACTAATGCATTATATATCATTGTTAAAATAAATAATATTTTTCTTTTGATGTTCAACATACACAACAGTAATGAAGTAGAAAATTTTTACTTTGTACTTAAACCTGTGTATCAAATTTAATTGTTTAACGTCTACAGTGTTCTAAAATAATATGCATGTATTACTGTATTTATCTGAAAATAAGACCGCCAATCTCTAATTCAAAAAATATGGGGTCATTTAATATTCACCAGTGGTCTAGTTAGCTGGTTAAGATTTATGATTTAACATGGTCTTTTCATAATCGCAAAATTAATAAATATTGACATAAGAATGAGCTCCATAGACTTTAAATATATTGCCCATATGTATAATACATTTATTCAATAACTATTAAAAAAACGTATTAGCAGATGTATTTTTGCAACCAGCTCATAATCACCACAAGTTTACCAGACAATTGAGACCAATATTTTTGAGTGGACCAATGAAAAGAATCTCAAATGAATGGCATTGCATGAAGGGAAACATTCTGTGAAATGAATAAAAATGTTGAGATTTTGTTACATGATCAATGAGGCTGAGTGGATTCTTAGTTTGACACCTGGTCAGTACCAATCTGTATTACGCAAGAGGTGGAAAAAAATTGTATTGATAAATTAATGCATTCTACATCCGATCACAGAAAAGGGCTTTAAAAAATGTCTTGGTAATAACTTCTCAAACTTGGAACTATCTCCCATGTTACCAGCGAATTGGAGGAATGGAGATGTAGGAGTTCGCTGTTCACTATTCTATCTCAAGAAAATTATACCAAGCAAATTTAAATACAACAGAAAACTGTTAAAGAATGTGAAAAATGCTAATGAATCAAATGCCCCAAACATGAGTGGGACAGGAAGAAAAACTGGTAACACAGATGGGAATGTTCTTAGGTGGTGTCTAGTGAAAGAAAGATGCAAATACAGCACACAAAACTTTAAGGGGGACCTAAAAATTGGAGGACACCACCGTATGGGAGGACCAAAAAGAAAGAAGCATGATACATGTGAAACTGAAGAAAGTGGAGACAAAAATCATATAATGATTTTAAGGAACAAGAAAATAGTCATAGTTCAGGCAGTACATTTTATCCTTCTCTTCAAAAAGATGATTTTCTAGACCCTTTTCCAAGTTGCAATTTTATTGTAACTTGTAAATTGTAAGAATTAGTTAAAAATTCTTAGGAGGTCTCTTCAAATTGGGGGTTTGACTTATATTTGGGTAAATACAGTTCGTGTTGCGAGATGTTGATATGGACACCTGATAAATGTGATTTCTAAGACGTGTTGTAATTATAAATATCGGTATTACATTAAAAGATGTTCCTATTGTTAAGTACGTCTGTCTTGACAAAATCTGCAGACTCGTAAAATAAATAAATAAATAAGGCAAGTTTAATGAAGAGATGCTGGCAGAATAGCGTTTGTTTATTTCAACAATTGTTTTCTGAAGTCTATAAGAGCTTTTCCAAAATGTTATGCCATGTTTCAGGCATGAATGTGTACATTTCCAAAATACATGCAACAAGCTGCATGATTGTTGAATGAATTCTGAATGCAAATTTAAAAGAATTTTGGTTTCATTTAGTGATCAAATCCGATATTCCATTTAAGGTTTAGCGAAATTGAAAGAGTCAGAAATTTTATTACCTTTACATCGGCTAATTTGCATATTGTTAATTTTCAAGGGTTCATGCGATTGCTGGTTTGAAATGAACCACTGCATTGAACGCATTTTTTAAATTTCTGAAATCATGCTATTTCTTTCATTTGTGCAAAGAACATTTGTGTTATTAGCAAACAGAACTATTTTTCCATTTCTAATGGTCAAGGGCATATCGTTTACGTATAGAAGAAATAAAATATGGCCTAAAATCAAACCTTGTAGGACCCCATGCTCAGCAGGCAAAGAATTGGATGCATGAGTAAATAATGATTTTTCTTCCTGACAATACAGTATTTCTACACTTTGCGATCAATGTTTAACCTTTTGTGAAATATATGGTTTTTTATAGTTCGACAAAAACAGTTATCTTTCCTTTGCTCTGAGACACTACGCAAAAAATTATAAAGCTTTAAAAATGTGAATTAATAGCTGCATTCCAAGGTCCACAAATCAGGGATTTCAATGCACCATTTCAGGGCACCACTCTCTTAAATGCCCTTTGCACTATTTGCACATTTGCACTTCGCCTTTGCACTACAACAAACTTTAATCAAAAAATCCAGAGCCATTATTTTGAAAATGTCCAGGGGCTTCATGTAAAGTACCCCAAAAATTAAAATTTCTGTTTCAAATTCCAGGGTCATGAGCTAGATCAATTGGAGAATATCAATTTTGGAGAAAAATGGCTGAATGGTTTATGCGCTAGCGTTGTGGACGGACAGACAGACAGACATGCTTTGCCGTCAATGATTTTTCGGAATCAAGAACCCCCCAAAATATAAATTCTGGCAACACCATGTTTTAGAGGAATTTTTTTTGTATATTTAGCAACTGGATTTATCCACTTTTTCCTTACCAGGGCCCCGCTATAAGAGTTTTTGTCTAAAAAATTAAGTTTTCCAGCGCACAATTACAATACTATCTCTTCTTACGTTAGTAAGTGCGAAAAAGTAAAATTACTGGCTGCTACAATGTAAACAAATGTATAATAAACCCTAAAATAAATATACAGAACTGTTGTGTAATTTTCAGTGTCTTTAAAGTCATAGGTGATTTGAAGGTTGTATCACATGCAGCCCTGTGATCACCTGATTTTTTTTTGGTAATATTATTGTTTTTCCCACCTGAACCACTGTGTGCATGCAGGTGTATGTTACACCACTGGATTCAAATTTACATTTAGCTTAAGCATGATTGAATTTTGAACAATTTTTACTCATTGGAACTGTTTTTTTCTAAATTTTCCTTTTTAATACTGGTCAATAATTGCTTTCATTTTTGCGTATTAAAATTGCATTCATTCAATGTATAATTGCTTTCTTATAGTAACATACAATATTTGATGGATGGATGTATACGTTGCTTGCGTAGGTGTCTGGGAAACATTTATTTTCTTATATGCCCATTTCAACAACTATTGTTTTACAGAGTTCAGTAAATCCTGGTACACTTTTTAATGAGGTGTTTTGTATTGTCAAAATATCTTGGTGATACTCAATGGTTATGATCATCACTGCTTTTCGTTACAATCACTCCTTCACTACCTCCACAATCCATTGTAGGGAATCCTTACTATTCCCAACATTTAGTAAAAAATTGTTAAAAACTCCGAATTAACTAACTCACCAGAGAATACCTGATAAATGTATCTTTTCTCTCCCCTTCTCTGCATGTTACACTCAGATTTCACTGTTTTTGTAATAAATATAATGAAACAATTTTCATATTGTTGGATTATGCTTTTATGTGTAGTTAAAATATTGTTGATTTATTGAAATATCTCTTCAATTGTTAAAAAGTATGGTTTGATACACTACGTGACAGTAATGCCAGAAAACTGCAGACCCAAGAGAGAATATTTCATTACACAGAATTTACATATTACTAATACTGTTTTGAAAAAAAAGAGTCAATGTTTTCATATTAATGTCAAGACTCTCTTTCTTTCCAGGAAGGGTGTCTATTACCTGAGTGTGGCTGCAGCAGGATTCCTCATCTTTATTATTGCATTAGCTCTAGTTCGGCTTATCATATTTTGTGTGCTCTGGACACTCACCTTTGGTAAACACCACCTGTGGGTTTTCCCCAACCTTACTGAGGATGTTGGATTTCTGGCTTCTTTTTGGCCTCTTTATCAAGTAAGTCATGTGCATGTGATATTTATCTCCAATTTAACCAATTTTAGTATATCATGTACAAACAACATTGTAACTTTATTACTTACACTGTTTATTGAATGGTAATGAAGCCATTTGAACATATATCATTTTTGAGTATAGTAAAGTACTTTTAATGTGATTATGCTTTTTGTAGTATGAATATAAAGGAGACGATGGAGACAAAAAAGTGTCCAAGAAGAAAAAGAAAGACAAAGACTCTGATAATGAAGACGACAAGCACAATGATGATAAGGAAGATGATAGCAAGTCAGAAGATGAACATGAAAAGTACGTTTTTTAAAAAAAAAAAAATATTTTTTTATTAAGTTGACTAATACTGTTTTTACTTTTACTGTAAGTAAATATAATCTTGACATTCTATTGAAGGAATGAAGAAATACCTGATGAAAAAGAAGAAGATAAAGATGAAAATGTTTCAAATAAAGAACAAGAAAATTCTGAAAGCGAATCAGAGAGCAGTCAGAAGTCTCAGACAGGCAAAGACTTCGAAATGGTTGAGCGCGAGGAAGTAGAATCTTAATGGGCTATTGGTAAGATAAAGTAATCTTTATGTTAGGAGCATTCTGTGTCATTGCTTTAAGAAATTGCATTTCTGCATTGTTTTTAAGATTTTAGTTTACTTTTTATAAGAAGGTATAGAAGATCGTAGATATTGAGCAAACCATTCACTTATATTTGCAGATTTTCAGAAAAAAAATTTTGTCCGAAATTTTTGTATTCTTGAATGTGAAAATGTGTTGTAGATGTGCAAAAATATTTTATTTGATTTTCTGATTAAATATCATTGACATGTCCTGTCTAATGGAATAGCATGAATAGGTTCATAAATTTAATGAAAAACAGTAAAAAGATAAAATTAATAAATGCAACTTTATTTGAACTTTGCCCATGAATTGAGCTACTATAAGATCTACTTTGTGACTTCAGAGTGATTGTTCATCTCTGTAATTCATTGTTATTTTGCTCTGTACCAGGTTGAACATCTGGATAGATAGCATCAGAGTTCTGGTCCTGTGTCTAGAATTTTTCTAGTTCTTTTTTTTTTTTGTTAATTTTGAGGTTCCACTCAGAAACCAACATTGATATTTTTCTTTGAATATTTTGTATTACATCTATATATGACATGGGAACAGTGATATACTAGCATTGAAAACTGCATATTGCTTTACTTGAGGCTATTATCTGTTATTTGTCCATTGAACAGAACAAGGACCAAAGCTGTGACCAGACCAAAGTATCCCATCTCCATGAGAATTTAAACAAGATGCTTCCTTTGAAATGTTATGATTAGCCTTATATTTTATTTCAATCTTAGCCATTCCAGTTCTTAATGTATGTATTTGTTGTGATGTACATAGAGTAACTGTATGTTTATATTTGCACAGAATTAATTAATTGATTCACTGTGTATTACACTAGTTTGAACCTTGCCCAACATGCAGTTTTAAATAAAATTTATCATTCTCTTACAAAACAGGATTTGTTTACCAAAAGTTATTGTATTATCAGAATGTTTTTATTGGTGCACTGATGAAAGGGAAAAGAAGACATGGTTTTGCAAATGATGCTGAAAATTAGATAACATTTTATTACAAATTGTAAGATGATATAAATGGTGCTGTTAATGTAGCATTAGAATTGGAACTCTTGGATCTGTCAATCCAAAAGAAAATCTCATGGTTATTATTTTATTACTTAATTACAGCCTGGGTTTTAGGGCTGTTACTGTCGTGAATTGTTATTCAAGTTCTGTACTATACAAATGTAATAAATCTTCTGTAAAGAGACAATTGAGATTCCAAAGGCAAATAATATAGTGTATAACCTGTAAATTCTAATAAACTGTGTATCTTAAAGGAGCTGTACTGTGCAATATCAATCCTTAATGATTTAATTGACATAAAAATATATACTAATACAAGAAATATATATTACATATGTTCAGGTATATTGCATTGCATTGTATTAGTTCCTTCACCAAGATATTCGGTTTAGAAATGACCCTGTAATGTATATACATTCACCCTATTTCCCATTTATTCTTCAATTAGTTTCTGAAGTATTTCTATATGTTGCAAATGTTTATGAGTACAAATTATTGAATACAGTTTGCAACATTTGATTACACAGAGCAGCATATGGATTGAGTTTGACAAGTTGTGCTTTTGCAAATTGGCTACCAAGATCTGCAGCAGCTTCGAAGTCTTTCTTAGCTTCATCAGTAAGACCACCTTTCCAAAAAATGAGGCCTCTTTGACACAATGCTTGACAGGCAGATCTTCCATGACCACCACTCAATTCAATAGCTTTGTTTAAATCCATCACAGCATCTGCAATAATACAAATGTTTAAAATTGCGTAAATGTGATCTTATGCTAGAAAACAATAACAAATCTATACCTTCAGTTTCTCCTTTCAAACGGTAGACTTGTGCCCTATTATTGTATCCTGAGGCCCTGGTGGGGGCAGCTTCAATAACTTTTGAAAATATTTTCAGAGCAGCATTAAAATTCCCCGTTTCTGCCGCTTCTATACCATCCCTCTCCAATGCTTTGATTGGTAAAAGTGTTTTATCATCCTCGTCATTATCTGCCAAAAATGTTTACAAATTACAAAACACAAACTATATATTATTCAGCCAATGTACTAACAAGAAACCAACCTTTCATGTGTAAAATTCCTTTATCACTGTTGTCATCTAATGGTAAGACTGGATTGAAAATAACGTTCAGAACAGCAGCATCGTGTTCGCTTGACATTTTTGTTGTCAGTTGTTTCAAGGTTATCAACTTTAGTCGCTACGTAGACATTTATGCTAATTAGGAATGTTTCGAAAAGAAAGGGGAATGAAGTTCTGTACATACTAGTCGAGACACCCATCCTAAAGATTTTACAAAATGTTCAGGAATTAATGGCCACTTTCTTCTATTGTAATACGCGCCATTTAGCTGTCAAATGTTAAACAAATTTCTTCTTAACAAATGGTTACGCATAGAGGGGTATTTCTCTCAACAATTGTTCGCAGCCAAATATGAGTGTTTTAACGTGAGGTTTTCTCATTTGTGAAAACACCAGGCATGCTAAAATCAGCAGTAAAAATCTCTTTCCGTACAATTCAGAGACGATTTGAAGGATTCGCGTAGAGGCACATGAAAAGGCGCCTTGGAATAGTTACAGGAATTATGAATTATAAAGTTGTTAACGATGAATGGCGCTAACCAATATGAGCTACAAAGTGTGTTGCTACTGTTGCAATCCTAGTTTCTTTTAATTTTACTTTGTAACAAGACCCTTTTGAGCTGCTTTCCTTTTCTCTTAGTAAGAAAACTGCTGCATTCGAGTATCCAAGAGGCTTTGCTTGCCCTTAATATGGCTGCCAGTGAAGACGTTCTTGAGAGTTGGGAAGATATCGAAGACAGTGGGGTATGTGAACGGCAATATTTCATTACTTACTTGCTCGGACTTATTGCGGAAATAAGAATGTTGAAGTAGTGTGGTTCCTCAGGTCTCTTTCCTTAGATCAATATTAACCTTGCTTTTAGAAGAATATTTTTCAATTATTTGTAAAATGTTAATTGCCCCCGACATGTTACTGGACATGTACTTCAAATGCCGCACATTAATGATGTTTGTTCATTATTTTGAAGTGTTAAGATGAGTTATTGGTATTGTTGATTTTTTGGTTGCGGTGACTTACTTCTATACACCTGACACGCGGCTTGAGCATGGTTTGCTGAGAAGCGGTTAGTCTAGTAAAATCAAGTGCTACTGATTTTAAAAGTCTTATGTTAGTGCAACAATCATTTATTGTGCCATATGTCCCATTGTTACCTTTTAGCTTATCAATAATGAAACCTCATTTTGATTTGCAGTACTTGCATAAAATTATTGTAGTTTCATAAAAATACATTGTTTCACTGATGTGAGTTATACTTTTGAAGGTCTTGGATAAGAAGTTGCAGCCATCTGTGCCTCCGCAAGAGGAGTGTGAAAATATGCGGTTAGTGTACCTGTCGCCCATGACTTTTTTGTAATGTAGTTGATGGGCCTTAACATCCTGTCTAAAATAACAACCAGATGATATTTAACCCATGAAAAGAGTTTATGGTCATTTGCAAGAGAGTGTAAATAAACTTGATTATTTCAGTGTTCATACATTTTGGATCTAAAGAAAATTTTAATGAATTATTAACTTCAAAATTCAATTAATGAAGTACTATATTTTAATTTTTGTTTTCTCGAATTTTGTATGCGATTATTATTAATACCATATGAAGCATGATTATTTATTATTATTTAATTTTTTGCAGCAGAGGAACTTCCAATGGCCCAATTATTATTCAAGATGAAACTCTTCGTAACCATTATGTACCTCCAGAACCTACGGTAAAAATTCTCAAGCGTCCAAATAGAAATCTCCAAGGAAGTGGTGATGGTCCATTGTTGAATGGTGATGCTAAACCCCGGCAGCCCATCAAAACTCTTCAGCAAGTAATAGTCCTTTTACATTCATAATTTCATTTACTGCCTTTATTGTATTTCCGGTTTAAAGGTATTAGTTGTAAGGAGGAATGAAACTTCATACCTATAATTTGAGTTAAAGTAGGCTGTCCAGAACACACTTATAGAATAGTGATTGGGTGGGAGGAAAGTGAATGGGAGTGAGTGGGTGTCTCCTGATGCACTTGCCAGCAAATTAATTAAAATACATGTATGGATATTGATAAACCTTACGTATTCTGGGCTTGGGTTTTTAAGACTCTTCCAGAAAGCAGCTTGTGATTCCATATCATGCAAGTGGAATATCGACAAAACTGTATATTTCAGTTGCTCTATACATGCAAATTTCCCTGTGTTTTCATGCTAAAATTACTTTCATTGTTTAATTGAAGCTTTGCTATACATTTCAAAGTTATGGATAAGACTCAGACCTTCAATCTTCATGATAAATATAAAATATCCTTGTGTCTGTGTAGTACTCAATTACCAATATATCGTGTGCCCAAATTCTTTTAGGAATGCTCAACTCATTAGTTGTTGGTTGGTTGGTAATAATGGATGTCTTTATTTATTTGAGGAGGGCACTTAGTCATTTCAGCTAAGGCCAAATTCATCCGTCTCACTGTTTCATTTCACTAAGTAAATAACCATTTAAAATTTACATAATGCTACATAAATAACAGCAGATACAACAAACCTCTTACCATCTCTAGTTTACTGTCAGAACATCGTAATTCTATTCTGAAATTTGCGGGATAAAAATGCAGAGTAATTGGGTTTTGCTTTATTATAAGATCTCTCTTGACCTACATTTGAGCTTCCTTTCTGAGCACACAGCTTTGAGCTGAGATATCTTATAGTTTGGGGTAGATATGCAAGCTGTTCTTTCTTTATGCATGCATTTACTTTGGTGCAGGTCTTGAATGTAAGCTTGTCATTGTCTCGATTTAAGTAATTGATAAAGATGATGTGGATGAACTGAAGGGAACCCATTTGTACTAGTATAATAGATAATTTGTAAGTTGTTTCTGATTCTCCTCTTGGAAATGTGAATCTAGATGCACTGTTACATATTAATTTCTTATCGATTAGAGTATTTTCTTTCTCATTATATTAAAAATGAGATAATATACTGTGGTCCACAAAAGTAACCCCAGCCTCGTTTTGCTCCTTGTCGGTAGAGTACCGTTTACAAATATTTATCAGAATTTTGACAAGAATAATGATTTTCAATTAATATAAAATATGTCAAACTTTGAGGTAGCCCTTTGTAAGGTATAACAACCACTCACAGGAACACAATGGCATTCGAAAGCACTGTAATACACATTGACAAAAAAAGAAGTGTCATGCACAGGCCCTCCTTTCAAATTATGTAGAAATTGATTCATTTGAATCAAACATGTCAACCATGTTTTCTAGTTGATTTCATTGTATGTATATTTGTAAATTTAAAAAATATCTGAATCTAATAAAATAAAATATTTCTGATAGGTTGTAACAATATTAATAAGAAAATATTACTGAGCACAATGGAAAAGATCCCCCCTGCCCTCCTGCTCTCCCTTTCATTATTCTTTGAAAGACACTCCAAAATTCCTACTTGATCAATTTTATTAATTTGTGTGCTATCCTGTAAGTGGACGATTCGTTTATAATTTTTTTTTAGATGTTCTTGTGTGATGATTGTATGAAAATCGAAATTGATATTTAAAATTAACTAACATGAGCAGTTTTTAAGTGCCAAAAGTACTTAGAAAGAAAATACTATTTAGTGAAATGTTTTGTAGGATTCTTGTACTAGTAGCAATGTCATCACAAACCTAATATTTTAAAGTATTTGAAGACATTGGTAGTTAAAATGTTACGGATACATCAAGTGTCATTGTTATTGTGAGTTACATTTTAATAATTTTTGTTTAATATTTTTCAGCGTGAACAGGAATATGCTGAGGCTAGACTGAGAATTCTTGGAGAAGCAAGAAGCCCAGAAGAACAGGTGCAACTTAATACTGATGATAGGTAATATATGTTGAATTAAAATAATAATTTTTTGCTTTTATACTTCTGTTCGTTATACCAATGCTGTGGTAAATAAAAATCGTATGTCTTCTGTTGTCCAATTAATTTTATACTTATTTTACTGCAAAATGAATCATTTATATAATGGATATTCGGTCTGGTGTAACTTGGTGAACAATACCACTTTTTACCAATGTACTGATCTTTTTATCAGTTGTCTTGTTTAAGTGGTATCGCTTACCAATGATCACCAACCAATTATATTGTGATTTAGGCTAACAATGATGGCAGGTATTTAGGCTTTTCTTTAAGTCTCCTTCCATCAAACTTCATTGGCATTAAGTCGCTTGTGCAATTATAAGTTTTTGTTGTGCATTTTTAATAAATTATTTAATTTGCAATTGCTGTTAAAAATAATGGAAACACATTTTTCAGGGTAAGCAAAATTCAGACAAAAATGGAGGTATTGCGAGCATCTGACATGGCCAATGTGGTTCGTTTGCCAAAAGGACCAGATGGTTCAAAAGGGTTTAATATACGTAGGTAGTGGCTTCAGTGTTTGCTGCCTCAGCAGTCAGAAGGACATGAACAAATGTGGAGTGCAAAGCAACAAAAACTTGGGACTCAGCAGTTGAGCTGTAATGCTCACTGTAGGTGTGTGGCATAGGCATTTGATTTCTTTGCTGGTGCATCTACATTGTTAATTTAACAAGAACGCTGGACAGTGATGTGGCAGCATACTGGGAGGGAGAAGACTGAGACGCCATTTGCCACATATAGTTATTTGCACATATCAAACAAGATCCCTGTGTTTGAACCAAGATCATAAAGTGTACAATTCAAATACAAGGTTTAAAATTTGAAATTTAGAATTGGAAAAATTTGAAAACATTCTGCTTTAGGTAACATTACTACTTTGTGTTCCATGCTAGCAGTTATCGAAGTTGGCGCCTGGTATGAAATTTTTGAAGTAGTACTTCAATATGTTCCCATTCATGGCTGTGTCAACACCTTGGGTAGAGGAAATACAACTTGCAATTTTGGCTTCAAAGTTGATGGTTACTTTGAATCCTTGTGAAGTTTGCATTCTGTAGAACAGTCATTATAGAGGGGGAAATACAGATATTAGTGTTGGTATTATATTGTGTTGATGAATCAGCAAAAAAAGATATATATTCTCTATTAAATAGTGATGAGCACACATTTAAATGTGCAATCTGCAATGAGGAGTTAAACTGTTTAGAGTGTACTCTTGTGCAAAAGAAAAACTTTCTAATCTTTTTTCTGTGAAAGATGAAAGAGCTACACATGGTGGTTGGTGACTCAATGGTGGGCCCTATCACATAAAAGCTTTATGCTGCTGTGCTTTCCCAGTATTGTTCTTGACTTTATAGAACAAACTTCATTAAATTATATGTTGTGGTGGCCTATAATTTCACACTTTGTGGAATTTTATTTAAAAACTCAGTTAAATAGAAGGAAAGAAAACTCTTATAAATGTGAGGCAAGTTTTATTCTTACAATAGTCATTAAAATACTAGGTAGATGGGATGTATGACATTTGCAGGACAAGAATTTGATGATCAATTAGTTAATTTTATTAGAAATTATTTCCACCAGGCTTCATAAATCTTGAAATGTCCATGTCCATGAAATTAAATTTACTTAAACAATCTATCTCTCTATCGAGAATTGTAGTTGCTCCAGTACAGAAACTGTTTTGATACTTCTAGTTCTTATTTCAATATTAATAAAATATACTTGTCATATTATCAAACATTGCTTATAATGGACAGACTTGCCACATTTATTTGCCCACAAAGTGCTTATTTGCCCACTAATAGGCTGTGATCATTTTATTGGTGTACCATGGATGTGCTAGCTTCTGGTTTTTGTGAATTGTGGTAAGAACACAAGGATCTGTGCATGTGCTATGCCAAGTACCTATTTCACCTGCGATGGTATATGGACGATATTTAGGTATAGAAGCACTAGCAGCAAGAATTTGTAATAGTTAATATGAAATATTTTATTATCAACGTATTTTTAAATGTCATTGTTTTTAGCAGGATTATCTGATATCCCAAGTCATACTGTGGTATCCACATGATTGTTTGTGAATGGGATGTTTTATAATACCTGTGTGTAATGTATACTGTTATATTGAAATTCTAAGTGAGCTCTGAATGATTTTACTTGAAAGATAATTTCCAAACCTTTAAAAAACAAGTGATTCCTTGTGTTTGCCCAGTGTTGCTTTTGATCCACTGAAGTGGGTGAGCTTATAAGCAGCCTACCCTGAGCTTTCTAATTCATATTCTTGGGATGTTGTGATGTTTTCTTTTATTTATGAATTATTTAATAGAATGATGTTAATAGTTCTTTCTTTCTTCGTAGTTAGAACTTCTTACTGAATGTGTATATTTATATATATATATATATATCTTTATCTATATATCTACGTTACATTTTTTATTTACTAATGATTACTGCTTCCTTTTTGTGTGTATGAATGTGTAATATATTTACTTAAAAATAGTCTTGATCACAACAACTCGGGGGAGGCTTAGACATGGTCTTCAGTGCCACTTACTGTCAAGAAGATTTCAATATTTGCTGTATGCTAGTGATCTAAGAATTTAAATTATATTTTTTTATCGACAATACACTGTACAGTCAAAGTGATGGTATTCTTTCACCATTTTGTATGTGCGGTTTGCTTCTATTGTGTTATTCAAGTATCCGGAGGAGTATTGTATATAATAATGTAATGACATTTGTAAATCCACATCAAATACACTTCCAGCATTAATGTTGAGCAAACCAATTAAGTATGTTTTGAAGTCTATTGAACGTGATGTGATTGTATAATTTTTTAATGATTACATGTTTTGGTTACTGAAGTCTTTCTTTGTAACTATTTGTACCCTTTTCATGCCTTCCTGAATTTAATAATGAAGTTAATTGTTAGTATATTTCTGATGCATTGTAACCCAAACACTTACCAAGGTGTTAGAAACATTTAAACTTATGACATAGTATGAAGGAATGCTTTTTTAATTGGATCTTTTGTATCTTACAGCTCAGGTACTTTAGTGGGCTTGAAGGTGCAAAATGTGTGAAAAGCTTTAAAGTAGTTTGTGAATAAACTTGTCATTTCGTACAGAAGAGCTCTGTGATGTGATAAGTATATGGTGAGTGGAGAATAGGCATTTGTATATGTAGATTGTACATATTACACTTAACATGAAATGTAGAAAACTGAAAGCTGAGGGTTAAAAGACTGCATTAGAATTTTGTCATCGATGAGTATTTATGAGTTGTATATTTCTGTTATGAACTGCACATGTAGGGAGAGTGAATTGTCTGGAAGTGTGATATACCATTTATAACTTCCTTTAATTACTGGCAACAAAGTTGAAAACTGTTACTTTTCTGTATCCTTACTAATTGTCAGTGTTTTACCTATTTAATTTGCAATAGAAACTGAATACTTTATACAATTAGTTTGTTTGTCACATTGAATTATTCAGAAGTTTTAAAACTTTTTGTGGTGTGAAATATACATCTTTGATTTGTACATAAATATTTAGAATTGAATTTGATGTTTTTTTTTAAAATCTCCTTTCCCATCCAAAAATTGGATAGAATCATATCATGGCCTGATTATATATATGCTGATATTTCGTCTCCACTGCATAGGAGCTAGAATATCAAAAGCATCAATTCCATTCTACCATAACAAATTGCCCTCATTTCAATACAGCTTTGCTGAAGTGGGAAACTCGCGTTATACTGAACAATCCTTGCATTGACGTACATTGTGCCGCTACGTACGATGTGAGTGAGCAGCTGTGACTCACCGCTTTTACTTTTTTATGGTAAGGTGATAGCGACTGACTCGCCAGCGTTGCGAGCGTCGAGAGACACTTGCGGGTCGCCGTGCATGCCAGCGGCAACCGCGCCAGTTTGCCGCGCCGCACCTCGCGGGCTGTTTCATGCAGGCAGTACGTCAGCGATAGGGCGGTTATTCTTGAAGAGTGAAGTGAAATGGCTACTCAAGATGAAGTTGGGATCGGAGATTTCGTCCTTTTGGATGAAATTACAATTGAAAAATTTATGGAAAACTTGAAAAGGAGGTAATAGAGCTCACTCTGCTGTAGGTGGCATTGCGAAAAATCGCATTATTATTCAGAAAACGCACGAAAGGGAATGCGCGAGGGCGTGGTTGTGCGGTTGAACGGTTGTGTGAGTAAACTGGAAAAAAATGTGTACAGGTGATTTTCGTATTGGTCGGTTGGTGACAATTTAGTGTTAAATTTGATTCTTGTGTTAAGGACTTGCTGCTCTAGTGTCGACTTGTGTGCCGTTTGTTATCATGTTATGGACGAATTAGAACGTTTGTGGATAACTGCCATTACTTCCTTATGAAAGATAAAGAATTATCAACGAAGAACATTGCAAACGCGTTAAAACATTCTGTTTCGTGAAGTTTCGTTGTTGCGTGAGTCATGCACGGTTTTACCTTTTGCTCTCAGAATGACATCATACTTTGTGGAGGGATGATGTACTTTCAGATTGTGCATACCCCCATGAAAAATGACCAGTTAGCTTTGGTAATAAGTTTCACATCAAAATCCGGTCAAATTGTGTGTATATATTCTTCTTTCTACAAATTATATCTTTTGTGTTTTCTTCTCACATTAATTTTAAAAAATCTTGAAGACTTGTCTGTGCAAATTATCATAAATTTAGCACTGGATTTTTAGGTTTCAAGGTGGAAAGATATACACTTACATTGGAGAAGTATGCGTTTCTGTAAATCCCTATCGAACAATGAACATATATGGTCCCCAGCAAATTTCTCAATACAAAGGTAAAAGAAATTGAATAAATCATTAATATGTTATTAAGTTTTGTTGTAATTTAGTACGTAATTTTATCATGTAGGTAGGGAAATCTTTGAAAACCCACCACATATATTTGCAATTGCTGATGCTGCACACAGAGAAATGAAACAGCAAGGTCGTGATACATGTATTGTTATTAGTGGTGAGTCAGGCAGTGGGAAAACTGAAGCCTCAAAAATAATCATGAAGTACATTGCTGCTGTGACAAATGTTGGGGGCCAACAAGAAATAGAACGGTAGGTAATTTTCAAATACATGCAGTATCTACCTATTCATAGAAGACAAAATATTAATGAAGATTGTGGGTATTTTTGCAGAGTGAAAAATGTTCTTCTTCAATCCAATTCAATTTTGGAAGCATTTGGCAATGCAAAAACCAATCGTAATGATAATTCCTCCCGATTTGGGAAGTATATGGACATTAATTTTGATTTCAAAGGAGATCCAATTGGAGGCCACATAAATAATTATTTACTAGAAAAATCAAGAGTTATCCTTCAGCAACCAGGCGAAAGAAATTTTCATAGTTTTTACCAAGTAAGTTTAGCCATGTCTTAAGCAAACTTATCAACCAATATAAGTTTTCTTTATTTCGTGATATTGCTTGCATTGTCTGAATGTGACAGGTGTGCAGTTCTCTGTAGAAATTAAAATTTTTGATTTAGAATTATTAAAGTTAATTTTATTCTTGGTTGAAAAAATCCTAATTGCTATAATGTTTATTATTGTGTTGATTAATGAGGAATCAATTGAAATATGAAGAATCAATTAATTGTGTCACACTGTCCTTGGGAACTTTGTAAAAATGATTTTATCTTATCTAGCCAGTCAATAACTGTTGTAACTTGTTGAGAAGTTTTCAGTTTGAAGATAAGCTTTAGAAGATTTATCAAAGTATTCCAATGTCAATTTGGAACATGATAAGGGAACCCTTGACTTTCTCCCCGTAGCAAAGTGGGGAGTAATTTTGCAATTATTTCCAATTCATATTCTTTAATTAAATTACTTTTTCTTATCTAAATGCCTTTGGTACCTATATCCAGAAATGCTTTGAGTTGTTTGCTTGATTGTGATTAATTTCTGGGGAGTATATAGAGTGTAGGTCACTTAAATTTTTTCTCCCGTGCATTGGTTTTTATTTTTCTTGGACATTATTGGGCACTCTGATATTCGAGATCCTAGATATGTCATACACATAGTGATGCATGACAGTAATGTGTGTTTATATGGAAGAGAGTTATATTATGGAGTGTGAGTGCACAATGAGGAGGAGGATGATTGAAGATGGCAGGGAATACATTGCACTTTAAAAATAACCTGGAGAATGCATTAACAAGTCAAAAGATGGGCAAAAAAAATTGTGTTTCCATTGTGACCTACTCCCAATTATAATCCTCGTTAGAAACAAAACATATTCTCTCCAGATGTGAGAACTATTTTTTCCTTGGTGTGTTGCAGCCCTCAGGTTATATCTGAAAACTATCTTTATAATCCTGGATGTTTTACTGTTGAATAAGTAATTTGTAAGGGAAAATAAATGTTAAAAACCATCCTCGGTGATGATAACCAATGTTTTTTTTTCTTTTGCAGCTGCTTTGTGGTGCAAGTGACTCTGAACTTCGTACTTACCTGCTTTCACGGGATCCAAGCACATTCCATTATACTTGCCAGGGCAATGTTTCGAAAGTTGAAGCAATCAGTGATCGATCGGACTACAAAAGTGTAGTTGCAGCTTTCAAAACTCTGGGATTTGCTCAAGAAGAGACTGAAACAATTTGGAAGATTGTTGCTGCTATTTTACATCTTGTGAGTCTTTGTCTGCTTCAACTTCTTTATTTGTGCTAGAAGAATTTATAAAGTATGTGGATAGTAAATTTTGTTTCTCTGCATGTTCCACCAACACCGTCTAGATATAGGGTATGTCACTTTTGTTTGGATGTATAGGAAAATGTTAAAATAAGGTTCCCAATGTTTTGGTTGATAGCAATGTACGTTCCTCAATGTTAAGTTGTTAAATACGAATATAATTTTTCGTACTTCAAAGATATTCACTTTGACATTATTTGCCAGTTTTTTATTCTTTAAACATTTTTCTGATGTGATTGTACAATTAATTTCACGATTTTCTTAGAATTTAATGTACAGATTACAAAAGTGGTTAATAATAGCAAGCAATTCAGCATCTTAAGCACACAGTTTTTCATTTAATGCAAAAATTACAAAGTTTGATTAGTACTAAGCTCAAGACCCCCAGACTTGCATACATAAAGATGGGCGGACCTGCTACTGGCTCTAGAGACGGGCGGTCGGTCGGTCCTGCGTCCATGCTATGCATGCTAAGAAGGACAGATGGTTTGCATGCATACCGACATAGAGGCAGACGCTTGTTCTTTCAAACACATATCCCGGTTTTTAGGTACAAAATTTGCGTATTGCTCTCTTCTTGCACCAGATTTAACTGTGTTTGATGACAGCTCTTGTTGGTTTTTGACATGTGAGTAATGTTGTATGTCCCTAATCACAGATTTTTCATCAGGAATTATTGTTGAGGTGAATTCAATAATCGTCCTTTTGATACTTTAGTATAGAGAAAACTAATAGTGCTGCTGAATATCACAGACTTTCCCATATGAGTTTTCTATTTCTTTTATTCTTGACTAGCTATTCAAACTTGTCACGTACTTTTGCCTGCTGCCATCTATTGCCACCCAAAATACATTTATTTTGGAATTTTATTAATTTTCGGTTTCCTTATAGTAGAACGGAAAAATTATTTTAAAAATATTAAAGAATAGTAAAACCTTGTTATAAATAGCCATTTCTTTCAAAAATTTGGAGCAGATTTTAAGAAAATGTGGCTTAAGTGCTACTGTAATTTCGAAATTTGAAGCTCTTTTTCACAGAAAATTTTTGAGTTTTTGAAAAACTTCATTTAAAGTCATTTGAAAATTGAAATTCCAAATAGTCATTTGGAGAAGTCGTTTGAACTACTTTAACTCACAAATACTATAGTGTTTACGAATTGTTCAAAAAGTGCATATTAACGAAGTGAGAGTAAAAAAATTGCTTTCAAAAAAATTACATTTCTGTAATTTTGAGAAAACAAAAACAAACCCCGAAATGAACTTAAAGAGTGCAATTAGCAGTATCCGTTTGATAACTTTGAAGAAAGAATTTGAAGCTGTGTGTTTGAGAAAATGGCATTTGAGCATTTCTGAACATGCTGAATATTGAGCTAGTTTTCACAGAAAGCGCTGGAGTTTCCAAGAAACTTTAAAAGACCTTATTTAAAGCACATGTCTCATAAATATTATGTAAACAAATTGTCGCTTGTATAAATATTAACAATGTGAGAGACAAGTCAAAAGAATTCCATTTTTGTAATGTTTGAAAAACAAAAGAATAGAGCAATATGGCGGTTATGTCATTTCATTACAGACAGAATTTGTTTATATACAATTAATTGAACGTAATTAAATAATTTCTATGTATGATGTTAATTTATTTGTGCGTATTGATCCAGAATACTGAGATAGTTACAATCAACTTATATTTATTAAGTTTGAATTAATTTATATTGTAGTTAATTCTAATGATTTGTAATCTAAAATCACAAATAGAAGCAAGAGTAGTCTTCTAAATTAGTATACTGTGCTGGCTGAGATGTGCTCTTATAGAAGCTTATTCCAGTAATTAAATATGCGAGGATGTTTTTGTAGTTGATGTGTTTGAAACCATCTATAGTTTCATGTTGTGTCCTTTCAGATTGCTGGTAGTGGCTTACATGAAGTGTACAATTCTGGAGCATCGTAGAGGGTGTGAAGTACTTTGTAGGTTTCAGTGATGATGGCTCAGCCTCTCCTAAAAGCTAAAGATAAAATGTCTAGTTCACATTGTCGTTCTGCATAAATTAAGTTTCTTAGAGATTGTGGAAGTTTGCGAAGTTATTCAATATTTTGTAAATAACAATATTTCAAACTACAGAAACCTCATGAAAAATCACATAATTTGTAAATATTTAAAAGTTATTTAAGACTCTTATTTATACATGGTGACTACTATTGTCATTATTCTGAGTTCTATGGCTCTATTTGATTGTTTGAAGTGACTTTTTTGAAACTTTTATACGTTTGATTTGAATGCTTCATTTCTAAGTATGCTCAATATGTACATTTATAATTTTTTGGTTTATTTTTTTTCTCCTTATATTACAGTAGAATTTACAGCAATTTTTTTCTTTAAATTACTTGCCCAGATAGAAAAAAGTGATTTTCAGATTTTCATTAAAATCACTGAAAGTTTAAAATGGAACAGTTCAAATTGATTTTCAAACTGACCTACACTTCCATTATGAATGCCACAGATTTTTCTCAGTACAAGTTATCCCTCAACTTTAGATCTTTGAAGGGTGTCATACACATAGGAATATGAGCAGTTGTTGATAATAAATAGGAAATGAAGAGGAGAAAAGGTTTTGGTATCTCACACATTCTCATTTGCATTAAATGCTCTCCTTTTTGTAGTGTTGATGCTCGTGCCTAAACTATGTAGGTCACAGTTCGTTACACTCCTTGAATTTGGAAAATCAATTAACTTCGAAAATTTGTTGGAGTATTCAGATAACTAGAAGTTATTTTTCCCTTTCAAATTTTTGAAAATTATTCATCAAAAATAGATTTTCAAATAAGGTCACTTTTAAACTTTTGAAAATGAGTAGTTTTTGCATTAATTTTTTCTTGTAACAGAAGCAATTTTGAAACAATTTTAAACAATTGTTTTATTAAAAAGGGCTCATTTTTTGTCCTTGTCTGTAGCAAAGAAAGTGATAATGTTTCCAATTTTTTTTTTTTTTTTAACTTTCTCTTGGTTTTCTCAATTGTTTCAAACAATATCAACAAAATTAACATTGCAAAAGTACAATACTGATGATAGCTTTTTTGTTAATAAGCCATGTTCTTAAAAATTGTTTCTTTAAAGAATGTCAAGAAAGTTTCTTTAAAAATATGAGTAGTTTATGATGATTTTGCTAATTTTCGAATTTCCTTTGCCCACTTGCAAGTCTCAGAAGAAATCATATTGGAATATGACAACACTGCACGCTGCACCGTGAAAATTCCTTCTCTTTGTTGGGAGATGTTATTGCTGTACGATGTGGATTTGATTGTCGAAATTATCTTAAAATATTAGCTTTAAAAGAATTAGTTCTCACACCTAATTTTATTTTATTTGTGAAGAGTTTTACAAATGCTAACTTAAATGTGTTAGAATGTAGAGAAATTGCGTTACGATAATATTATGTAACCGTTGCTAAAGGCAGGAAAGTATGTGCTGTTTTAGCTCCACTCATTTAACTGTGAATGATGGGATCAATGCCAGCTGAGACTTGTATCGAAAGGCAATTAAGGGGCAATTAAGGCCCCTGGGTTTGATAAATCATACTCTGAAGCACAAGGCCCAATTTCCCTGAAGCCTTCCTGTTGGTTTTGTTTCAGTCTCAGCAGAGCATATGAGAAAATGGAATTGTTTGATTTGGCTGCTAAATCACGACAGTTATCTCTTGTAATGAAAGCTGAAGGTTTCATTTCTGAAACATTCTTAATTTTAATAGATTTCTTGATATTTTGGAAGCAAATATTAGGAATGAATTCATTCTGATCTGTAATGAGCCATTTGTGATATGTGCTCACAGGGAAATATCCAATTTTCATCAAGTGGAGATGATTCCAAGCCAGCAATGGAAGGAGTGCATAAAGCAGCAGCTCTGTTGGCAGTTACACCACAAGACTTGTCTAAAGCCCTCAGTGAGAGAGTTATTGCTGCACGAGGAGAAGTTATGCAGAAGACACACACTGTATCAGAAGCAGAATATGGCAGAGATGCTCTGGCAAAAGTAAGATTTGATGAATTCATTTTAGTTTATTATTAATTTTACTCTACATATCTTTTTTGTGTTATTCAAAAATATTTATAAATGAACTGGTGATGCAAGTTTTTCATCCAAAGAAGGAAAAAAATGTCTTTATGCCCCAATAACTGAATGCTTTTTTTCTACTAGCAAAGCATCAAACACAAACCAAATCATTAAAAAAGTTTCAGTATCAAAATTAAAACCGTTATGTTATTAAATATATTGCTGGAACCAGAACTAAATAAATGACTTTTGGTTTTTAGATGATATTCATAATTTTTTGTAATCCAATTCGTAATTTGTTAGGTGTTTATGTGCCATTTACTCAAGTTTATCGAACAGTGTCACAAGTTTCGGTTTTTCTAGTACATCTATAACAAGATATTCTCTTTCCTTTTATCATTTACCTCTGATGAAAAATTACATTTTTTCTTCAAATTAAATATGTTAGACTTACTGCGAAAACTGAACGCTGTCTGATGCGGTTGATGAAGGGTGGTTTGTGGTGTGTTTAAATTTAAATACTGTGTTGGTATTTGCACTAAAGAAAGAAATTGTTTTTTTCCTCATTGTTTCTTAACAACATTCTTAACATCTAATGTTGACATGTTTGTATTCTATCAATGTATTGCTATGTTTCTAATCAGATGTTTGTCATTTTGTTTCATAGGCAGTTTATGATCGCCTTTTTACTTGGATTGTTGGTAAAGTAAATAAAGCTCTGGATCCAGCCAGCAAGTCTGATAGAAAGTTCAAGACTGGAACAGTCATAGGTGTGCTGGATATATATGGTTTTGAAATATTTGACAACAATAACTTTGAACAATTTTGCATTAACTACTGCAATGAGAAGTTGCAACAACTATTCATAGGTACTGTTTTCATTATCTCTAACAAAGATAAATCAAATAATGAACAGTTGCAAATTAATTTCTTGTAACATTAATCTTTTTGAAAGTGAAGAAATTGTATAAGGACATTTTAGGAGAATTTTAAGAGATGTTGTAAAAGATACTGATATATTTGCACAGTTACCCAAGAAGTGCATCAACTGTTCTTAACGATTGCTAAGTATATATAAGCAAAATAATGCCATGCATGGGATTGAACACGCTTGAATTTCTAGAGGGTAACAAAAATGTTCAAATTTTAATAAAGGTAAAATCGAAGTATGTCTTTAAACATTAAATTCCACATTTAAAAAAATGTTTGATGTAGAAATTGATAATTGAAAATTCCACTCTGTTGAGAAATGTTGAAATATGTTGAGAAATTTTTGAAATTGAAACTACTTCCTAAACAGGACAATATCTTGTAACTCCATTGCATAAAAACACTGCAACATTCATTGAGGCCTTGCTATCCCCAGTGATCCAAGCAGCGACTTTGACAGACAATTCTTTTAGTATGCAGATGAAAGGTTAAGCTTCAGAAAATTTTAGACAAATCTTTTCTTTTTTGGTTTTTTCTGCATAATATTTTGGAAAACAGTTATATATTTATGACACATTTATCTTGTGACTTCACTATCTATTTGGACTGAAAATGTAAAATTAATATTTGCAATTGCCACAATACATAACCATGAACTGGTCACTCAACAGTAGTAGTCCTTGCAACAATAGTAGTCAAATTTGCACAGCCATATAACACCACTATTTTTTAACAACTTGAAACACTTTAATCTTCTTGTGTTATGACTGTTATAATTGAATATTAATTAAGTTATAAATATTACTCATTTTATTATGAAATTGACTGTCTAAAATATATAGAAGGCCATACACTACACTTATTGAAACTTTAAATGATGTCTAGCTCTTGAATATAGACGTCTCTTATTTGTCTTTTCTTTTCCTAATCCCACTACGTTTAGAAATATTACCAATTATTTAGTTATTTAATTTGTGGCAACAACATTTACTTCTGATATAGTCCAAATCAGCACTTTTATAATTATAATAATTATCATATAATATTTAACATATCACAATATTTCATATTATATTTCTCATATTATATTATCACATATTTATCACAATCAATAACATCGATGATTTGAAGGAAAAGCACGATAAAGAGTATGTTGATCGCTGTGGTTCATGGCCTAATTCACTGGAGTTCGCTTTGAGTAAGCCCTTTTGAAAACTTGGAGATTAAGTACTGTCACTGCGTTCTGGGGTAGTAAGTTCCAGGTATTGACAACTTAGTTTTCCTGAAAATAATTTTTTTGCATTAGATTATTTATTTTTGTTAAGGAAGAAATTTAAAAAATAAAAAAGTAGAAAAAATGATTTACTTAAGAGTACAGAAAAAAAGTAATCGAATACATGTATGAAATAAGAGCATCTTTTGTACTTTCATGATGCAAAATATTAACTTTTTTAACAATTAGAACATCGGTTATAAATGATTAGGGTGCAAGCATTTTTTTGAGAAATTTGGAACTTAATAATATTGGGTAAAAACATTTTGAGGAAAAAAAAAAAAAAAAAATGTTTTGAAAAACATGACTCTTGATGCAAAAATGTTTTAAAATCTGAAAAATCAAAGTCATATTTTCCTTAAATTTGAGTGATTTGACTTGGAATGACTCAGTAGGACTTCTGAGAAGGGGTGGTCCAGCTCTCCCATAGCTACTTGGTGAACTGTTAGGAAAATGTGCAGTAGCTAAGCTAGTTTAATAAATTATTACAGGATCTTCTGGTAGGAATTAAAATTTATAGTGCGCTTAGGGAAGTAAACCTCTAGATAATACAAATATTAATATTTTCTATGTTCATTTCCAACTCTTCTTTCTGTAGTACATTGGAGGCAAAGTAACTATTAAATTGTCAAGTAAAGCATCATTTTGCATTGTGAGTAGTTTGCACCAAATTGAACCAACTATGTATCCCGTCATGTAAGAAAACACTACTAAAACATAGAATATCTCTCTCTCTACAGAAAATCAGGAACGAGTGCTGAACGTGTTGTGAGAGAGAGAAAGTTGGTGGTGGAGTTAGTTGGGCTCTGTTTTTTCCTGTCATTTTTCCAATGACATTTTTTCCAATTTGTTATCCCTATTTTTTCTCACAGATAGGATTCATATGCCGTGTTTCTTGAGAAAGAAATTAATTATCAATCATGTTTCACATTTTGGATGTTTTTATGTCCAGAACTGGTTTTAAAACAAGAACAAGAAGAGTACATGCGAGAAGGTATTGAATGGCAAAACATAGAGTACTTTAACAACCAAATTATCTGTGACTTAGTTGAGCAGCCTCATAAAGGCATTATTGCTATACTGGATGAAGCGTGTTTGAATGTTGGCAAGGTGACTGATGAGGTGAGTACTTCCTGAATGTTTTTTTTATTTAATAAATTTTCAATAAGAAATGAAGACTTTCTCTTCTCCTTCCCTTCTTGTTCTTCTTCTTCTGTGTAGTCTTCTTTTTTTTCTGTGTCGTCTTCTTTGTCTTCTGTGTGCGTCTTCTTCTTTCTTCTGGTGTCGTCTTCTTCTTCTTCTGTGTCGTCTTCTTTTCTTTCTGTGTCGTCTTCTTCTTCTTCTGTGTGTCTTTCTTTCTTCTTCTGTGTCGTCTTCTTCTTCTTCTGTGCGTTTTCTTCTTCTTCTGTGTCCGTCTTCTTCTCTTCTGTGTCGTCTTCATTCTTCTTCTTCTTGCTTCTTCTTCTTTCTTCTTCCCTGTGTCGTCTTCTTCTTCTTTCTTCTGTGTCGTCTTCTTCTTCTTCTGTGGTCGTCTTCTTCTTCTTCTTCTGTTGTCGTCTTCTTCTTTCTTCATTCTGTGTCGTCTTCTTTTCTTCTTCTGCTGTCGTTCTTCTTCTTCTTCTTCCCTGTGTCGTCTTTTCTTCTTTCTCTGTTGTCGTCTTCTTCTTCTTCTTTCCTGTGTCGTCTTCTTCTTCTGTGTCGTCTTCTTCTTTCTTCTTCTTTCTTCTGTGTCTTCTTCCTTCTTTCTTCTGTGTCTTTTCTTCTTCTTCTTCTTCTGTGTCTTTCTTCTTCTTCTTCTTCTTCCTGTTGTTCTTCTTCTTCTTCTTCTGTTCGTCTGCTTCTTCTGTGTCGTCTTCTGTCTTTCTGTGTCGTCTTCTTCTTCTTCTTCTTTCTTCTCTTCTTCTTCGTCTTCTGTTGTCGTCTTCTTCTTCTGTGTCCTCTTCTTCTTCTGTTGTCTTCTTCTTCTGTGTCGTCTTCTTCTTCTGTGTCGTCTTCTTCTTCTGTGTCGTCTTCTTCTTTTTCTGTTGTCTCTTCTTCTTTCTTCTGTGTCGTCTTCTTCTGTGTCGTCTTCTTCTGTGTCGTCTTCTTCTTTCTTCTTCTGTGTCGTTCTTCTTTCTTCTTCTTCTGTGTCGTCTTCTTCTTCTTCTTTCTGCTGTCGTCTTCTTCTTCTTCTTCTGGTCTTCTCTTCTTCTTCTTCTGTGTTCGTCTTCCTTCTTCTTCTTCTTGTGTCGTCTTCTTCTTCTTTTCTCATGTGTCGTCTTCTTCTTCTTCTTCTGTGTCGTCTTCTTCCTTCTTCTTCTGTGTCGTCTTTCTTCTTCTTTCTTCTGTGTTCGTCTTCTTCTTCTTCTTCGTGTCGTCTTCTTCTTCTGTGTCGTCGTCTTCTTCTTCTTCTTCTTCTGTGTCGTCTTCTTCTCCTGTGTCGTCTTCTTCTCTGTGTCGGTCTTCTCTTCTGTGTCGTCTTCTTCTCTGTGTCGTCTTCTTCTGTCTGTGTCGTCTTCTTCTTCTGTGTCGTCTTCTTCTTCTTCTGTGTCGTCATTCTTCTTACTTCTGTGTCGTCTTCTTCTTTCTGTCTGTGTCGTCTCTTCTCTTCGGTTGTCGTCTTCTTCTGTGTCGTCTTCTTTCTGTGTCGTCTTACTTCTTCTTCCGGTTCTGTCTTCTTTTTCTTGTTGTCGCTTCTTCTTCTTCTTCTGTGTCGTCTTCTTCTTCTTCTTCTTCTTCTTCTTCTTCTGTGTCGTCTTCTTTCTTTCTCTTCTTCGTCTTCTTCTTCTTGTCTCTGTCGTCTTCTTCTTCTTCTTTTCTGGTCGTCTCTTCTTCTGTGTCTCTTCTTCTTCTGTGTCGTTCTTCTTCTTCTGTGGTCGTCTTCTTCTTCTTCTGTGTCGTCTTCTTCTCTCTTCTGTGTCGTCTCTTTCTTCTTCTTCTCTCTTCTTCTGTGTCGTCTTCTTCTCTGTCGTTCTTCTTCTTCTTCTTCTTCTTCTGTGTCGTCTTTCTTCTTCTTCTTCTGTTTCGTCTTCTTCTTCTTCTGTTCTTCTTCTGTGTCGTTTCTTCTTCTTCTTCTTCTTTCTTCTTCTTCTTCTTCTTCTGTGTCGTCTTCTTCTTCTTCTTCTGTGTCGTCTTCTTCCCACCTTCTCAGCTCCTGTCTGTTGGTGCCTAAATCACATTTTTTCACTTCTCTCAATTTTTCAGATTCCTAATTGTAGAATTGAATTTTATTTTTTTAGAAAGATAAACATCCTATATGTACTGTTCCATTGAAAAATTTAGAGCTGTTTAGAAGATAATGAACCTATCTGAAAATGCTCAATTTGTGGATTGTTTTCACGCAAAACTTTAGTTTTCAAAGAACTTAATTAGAAAAATATTAAACACTTGTACTCGCAAATGTGATTATGTACATATAAGAAATGCCCATAAATGTAAATATTGACAAGATGAAAACCTTCCAAAAAATAACATTTGTGGTAAGTTTTGAAACAAAAGAGCATATCAAAGTGGCATGTGTGACATGATATTTCTTGTCCACTTGGCATGATCATACCAAAAATTTAAAAGAGTGGGCATTGAGCATTTCTGAAATGCGAAATTTTGAGCTAATTTTTACAGAAAAGTTTTGAGGTTTTTAGAAATTTTATAAGACCTGATTTTAAGCACTTGTATTCTTAAATGCTGTAATGTATATATTAACAACACAAGAGATATCAAAAAGATTTCATTTGTTTTGTGCGTTTCAAATGTCATTTGTTACTTCAAATGTTTCATTTTTGAAAAACCAAAAAAATACAGCTAAATTGTTTTCATACCATCTAATGCTTAAATTCTGGGTACTGTACTGGCACTGCATATAGAATTATCCCTACAAAACTGTAAAGAAAAAAATTAATTCTTTAAAAAATATTAATATAAAATATTTATTGTTTTTTTAAAATTTAATAAAAATGACGATATTCCAACTATTAGAAATTCAAATCAAGACGATAACTGTTTATATTGGCTTTATTGATATAACTCAACGTGATGTTTTTAATGCCTATTATAAATTGAAACCGACACTTCTCCTGGCCCTGATGGTATACCATCATTATTATTGAAAATTTGTAATGTGATCTCGATACCAATCCTAAACTTTTTATTTATTAAATCTCTGCGAGAAGCAACCCTCCCAAAGATGTGGAAAACCATTAATAACTCTGATTCACAAAAAAGATAAACGTTCTAACGTTGAGAGTCATAGACCAATCTCTAAACTTTGTATAATTGCTAAATTGATGGAATCCATCATAACAATTAAATTGACGCAATTTCTAAATCCAATTTTGATCAAAGGACAACATGGTTTTCTAAAGGGAGGTCTCCTGTTACTAATTTGATGACTATTTCAACATTATATACTTGGAAATTTAGATATACAAAAAACAAGTAGATGTAATTTATACAGACTTTTCCAAAGTCTTACTATACTGTAAACCATGTTCTTTTACTTCATGTGTTGGAAGAAATTGGTATCCATGGTACAATCTTGAATTGGTTCTATAGTTACTTAACTGGGAGAACGCAGAATGTGAAATATAATCCTTCATTTCTAGAAATATATACGTCACATCTGGAGTCCCACAAGGTTCCCACCTTGGCCCACCATTATTCATCTATTTTGTAAATGATCTTAAGAAAACACTTCCATGTTCAAAATTCCTACTTTTTGCTGTGACTTGAAAATTTATAAAACTATAAATTCATTACAGACTGTTTACGAATTTTGAATATGACTTAAATACATTGTTAGATTGGTGTCATCAAAATGTTTGAATTTGAATAATGGTAAATGTAAGTCGTGTCTTTACTAGATCTAGTAATCCCCTTGATTTAATTATGAACTAGGGAGATGCAATGGTTAGAATCAGTCTTCATTACTTTAGGAGATTTGGGTGTTTATTTTTGATCAAAAATGAGTTTTCATCTACATATGACGATATTAGATAAATCCAAATCAGTGTTAGGATTTATGCAGAGTATTGCATCTGAATTTACTAATGTGCAAACCATCAAAACTTTATATTTAACTCTAGTAAGACCGATATTATATATGGCTCACAATGTCTCCCTCTTACAGAACCATAATCTCTAGACTTGAAACTGTTCGCACAAATTTCTGTATTTTTGCTGCCTTCAAGCTTGATATTCCATCTCCTAGATTTAGTCACAATTAGTTCCAAGTCGCAACTAGATTAATATTAGCTCATTTACGCTCCCATAGGATTATTTGAATGTAACTTTTTCTGTATAATTTGATAAATCATGATATAGACTCTTCAGAATTACATTGTAAAATTTCTTGGGCAATCCAGTGCGTGATCTGCGTTCTACAAACAGCGTGTTATTTAATTTTCCTTTTGCGAGATCAACCTTGTAGTATTATGTGCCATTATGGAAAATGTGTAGAAGTGCCAACTGTAACCGCATTAACTTTTTTTGTTCACCCTATCAATTTAAAAAAACTTATAAAAACCTGTTACTAAATGATTTTCAAGAATACTGTAATGTAAATGATATTTAATAATTGGGCGATTGCCTGTAATTATATGTATATAAATAAATAAATAAATTTAAGGGCGTACAAAAAGTTCCTGGAATAGTAGTTCTGCATGTTAATATTGTAATCTATAACAATGATAACTAACCTAAGGACCCTTGCACACCCATGTAGTTGCTCCATCGTTCCTGTCATTTTTGGATGCAGCTGTACAAGGCTTCTTTGGCTCCTGGTAGAACTGAGCCAATGCATTTGGTTTCATGTTCTCCACGATTGTAAAACCTGTCCCTTTGAGTCTCATTTTCAGAGCGGGGAACAGCGAATAGTCACTGGGAGATTCAGAGTATGGTTGTTGAGGGAAGACAACTCTCAGTGAGAAATTTCTGCACAATGAGCAATGTGTAGCTTGGTGCGTTATTAAAAACTCAGTAACAGACTGTTCATGTGCCATGAATTCATTGTGCAACTGTAATATCAAAGAAAGTAATGATCATCACTTTGACTGTGAATCTGACAACGCAATCTTTTTGTGGTCGGGATGACACTGGTGTGCTGCAGTTTTGCCTTGGTCATAGGATTCCAGTTGTAAACTGTGCTT